AATGAATCACAAGCAGTTAAAGCCAATTGTGGCGCTCAGTTGAAAGCGAAAACAACGAAAAAAGGAGTTGCAAAAAAAAAAAAAAAACAGCAGCCAAACCAACAAGAACAACAGACAGACGTGACTCAGCAAACAGAACAAAGAGGGTGTGGGAGAGTGTGAGAGAAAGGGTGTAAGAGAGTGTTAAGCATTGCTGCATAAACTGTCAAAAGCAGAAAAAAGACGAGCATAAAGAAAAAAACAAATATAAATATAGAATAAGTTGTAGCGTACTTGAAATACCCTTATATTTATATTTATTAGTCATCTTCATCTTATTGACCGCATAAAATCATATTTAAATTATTTGCATTCCCAAATGTGACTAAGTCTTGAGTATTGCATATATTGGTCACCGCCTAATCCAAAGCAAATGCAATTAAGCAATGAGGATAATTCCAAATGAATCGCACAAATACACACACCCTAAAAACAAGCTGGATGCGGGCTGGATGTAGGGGGTGCAGCTGTGCGGTGCTAACCGAAATGTGTGAGTAAAGTGCGTCGTCTGCGTTTGGGGTTTGCTTTTCCTTGTTTCAAGGACAGCAGCTGCTCTCTTTGACTGCCAGCTGCACTTGATGGCCAAACTGAGAAAGGGAGATAGAGCGTGTACATACTCCCATACACACAAACACTCATGCATGCACACGCATATACACTGCGTGCACAGTTATAAAAACATATATATATATATATATATATATATATGTACGTATATGTATATACATATGTACGTATGTATTGCATACAGTCAGAACTGTTCGTTAGAGAAGCGATTGATACGATTGGCAAAACAAATGTTTATTTTTTGTTAATTGGACATTAAAGAGAATATAAATATTCTTCATAATGTATTTTAGGTCATTTTTAATACTCAGCTAAAGTTTTAGTAAATTGCAATTGAGAAGCAACTACTGCAGCTTAAAATGTAAGAACTGATGATTCACTTCTCGTAGAGTTTACTGTATGGCATGTACATTATTGTCTTGAGCAGACTGTCTCGCGACAAAGGGGCTTCCAGCAATGCGTTAAGCAGGAGTGAAGTGTGGTGTGTGTGTATATACCTGATTTCCGGCGCTCGACGGAAGCATTCGATTGCCGGGCTGGTTGATACGCAAATGGTTGGTTGACAATGCAACCCAAGTCTCAGACTTTGCCGTTGCCATTAGCCACAGAATATATATAAATGTATATACGTAGGTATAAAATATAAACGTGACTCAGAGCGAGGTGCGGCAGGTGAGGGCTAGAGAGAGAAACGAGAGAGAGAGAGAGGGGGGGTGGAAGGGCACTGGCATTTATAGTCTGTGCTGCTGCTGGCTGGAATACAAATTGCTAATTGCGCTGCTGCTGCTGCCGCCGGCACAATGCAGATCCTGATGGAGAATTATTGATTTGCCAGCAGAGAAGTTCGAGGGGGTTGGCACGTGCAAAATGAAGCTGAAACGAAAACGCAGCAACAACGACGGGCTGCGGGGTATGCGCTAGTCAGGCAGTACACGCCCCAGCGGCGCATCAAGCTGCTGAGATGGAAACAACAGATACACACACACAGGAATGTTCGTGTTTATTTTATTCCTTTATAGCCCTCAAAGAACAAAGGAAAATGCATTTGGTAGAGATGTGGGGTTACATATATACATACATACACACATACATATATTTATATATTTGTATTTTTAGCGTTAAAGAAGCCAACTGCTCAACACTACAAGTTTGAGCTAAGCTGAATCAGAGCAATAAACAGTTAATAAAGTGCGAATAGCAACAAACACAAGACACAAGATCAGCAACAAATTGATTGACAGTTACAGTTACGAATTGATATATATACATATATATGTATATATAAAAAGTCAAAGAGGGTGCGTGATATGTCTGCAAGCTTTTGGCTGTTGGTCTATCTGTTTGATTGAGACCAAACAAGTCAAGGCAAAAGAAGTTTACAGGTAATCATCATTCATCTGGCAACATTGTGCGTGGCCACAGAGAGTATACACAGCCAAATCGAGAGGAACACGAAAAGAGAGAGAGAGACAGGCAGAGAGAGAGAGAGAAAAAGTAGGCGAGCGGGTAGAGAGAGCAAGCTTAATAGAGGCGGCTGCCACTGTGAATGCCAATGTCAAGGCAATTAGCCAAAAGCCGGTTGGAAAAATCAACAACGAGGCGCAACAAAAACAATACCAACAGAAAAGAAGCAGCGCGCCAGCAGCAGCCGCAGTAGAGGAGGACGCTGAGGAGGAGGAGGAAAATCGTAAAACAAGGCAAGCGAAAAATAAAAAACCTATGAAATGAAGCTAAAGTTTACAGAGCTGCCAGAGCGACTGTGACGTCGCTTGCCATAGATTTTATGACTTGCAAGAGGTGCGCGATGCCGTGCTTCAAGGGGAGGGCGACAAGTGAAGTGGGGTGGGTATGCGACCAAAGTGAAGATGTGTGCTGAAACCTGGAACTGGAGCACGTCAAGTAAGAGAGAGAGAAAAAGAAGTGCGTGTGTTCATGGCTTATTGTGTGTGTGTGAGTTAAAAATATGAAGCAGGCCCGAATGCATTTGAAGCCATGTTTGGGCAAGGCACGTTGAAAGGAATTCACTTACTTTCTTTGTTGCTCACTGGGCGTCGCTTTTGTTGTTGTTGTTGCTGTTGACAGTGGGGCTGTTGCTTTAATTACCGTTTTAAATGGCAATTTTGCTTATTATCCTTTGCCCGCGCTCTCTTTCTTTCTGACTATCTTTCTTTGTCTGTCTCTTCACACCGTTGAGTTGCTTTGGTTGCTTTAGTTTTAGTCGTCGTTGCTTTTCGCCGTTTTCTATTTGCGCTCCTCTGCTTTTGCCGGTGTTTCTACTACGCCTTCGCCTGCCGCTATGTGAGTGCGTTTGCCTGTACGCGCGCGTATGTGTGTGTGTGCGTGTGTATATATGTATATATGTATCGTCTCGTTTCTGTTTTTGTGTTGCGTGTGAATGTGTGTATGTATGTATATATATGTGTGTGTGGGTGTACGTCTGTTGCACCCTTCACTTCCAATTCGAATTTTGTTAGGTAGACGAACAAAGTAACTTTGGTCTTAGTTCAAATTCACTCACAATAAAAAATCAGAAAAAAAATATACGTAAACAAATCACAGGCAACAATTATCGAAATGTATTTGTTTCGCTTTTATTGGTTTGTTTATTGCTTTTACTAAGGTATATTTTTGCGTTAAATGCCGCTTGATGCTTTTGTTTGCTGGCGCCTATTCACGTTCGTATGCTTGTGTGTGTATATGTATGTTTGGTATGGCAAAAGGATTTTTCACGATTTCAAATTGGCTGATAGACGCATGCGCGCACAATAAGACCACAAGATTCGGATGAAGAACACAACCGCTCACGACCTGCTCTCGAATTGGAATGGAAACCCGTTGCAGAGCCATATACAATTTAAATCCAACATGTCTGTTAGTGCGCTGTTAGCTCACCCATGCTGTTAACGCTATTGCGAGCACTTTTATCATAAGCTGAAGCTACAGAAAATTACCAAATGAGTAAGTAACTAAAAACAAACGATTTAAATGTAAAGATCAACAATTTAATTAAAAATAAAATTAATTTAATTGTACGATAATAATTATTGAGACCAAATGACACTGTTAGCATAGCACTGATGATTTTCGAACAATGTTAAATGTATCATACTGTTAGTTAATGCTGCAGCTGTCTTGCCAACTCGGCGAAAGTGCTGTTAGAGGACTGTTGGGTTTTAAAAAATGTAACGGTAAATGGGCAAAGGAAATGCGCATAACTTGAACTTGACGAATTACCGCTAGATCAGCAGCCGCCACGCAATTTGATTTACAGCTATCCATGCATCCATCCATTCACACAAAGCAATGCTAATGCCAGCCAACTAACTAACTATCTAACTAACTGCCCAACTGCAACCGACTCGGCTGCATGCTTGGTGTGGCAAGGCAGCCCGACTGTCGCCATGCTCTGTTAATTTTTTAAATGCGCGCATGCATCTTCAATCTGGATGCATTCGCCATTTTGCTTAAAGTGCTTCTCGCATTGCATTTGCTTTTTCGTGTGCAAACAAAAAAAAAACAAATGAAAAAAATTTGGTCTGCTAGTCAGCTGCCGATTTCACCGTCACTGCAAATGCAAGCAAACGTACCAAATCCTTAAACACACAATCCATTAATATTAATAATGACTGTACCATACTTAAGATGCACATACATATAAACATATGTATGTATGTAGCTGCAAATCGCTTGCATATTTCTCTTTAGCCAGCATTTTGAGTCAAAAAAAATAATATATATTTCTGCATTGCATGCCTCGTGATTTTCTGCAATTTTAAACAAGTCAATTATGAGCCGCAAATTATGTTTGGCACGCCAAATATAAGGAGAAAAAAATCATAATGCTAAAATCGAAATAAAGCAAATTAAAGTTTTCAAGGAAAGAACGAAGAACAGCTGTTTGTAAACTGTTATTGGTTCGAAACGTTAGCGTAACAGTGTTGTCAAAAGGCAAACGATTTGTCACACTAGTTGGCAGCCCTGGCGCATAGTTCACAGTGGCCAAAAAACAGCTGACGACTCAGCAGGCAGTCAAGTTGACAGCTTGGTCGCAGAGCCAGAGCCAAAGCCAGAACAACGCGAATCAAACTCGAAACGAAATAATGCTCAGTTAATTTAAATTTAAGTCGAGAGCAGCAGTTTTATTTAACATTTTTTTCCGTGAAAATTGTGTGCTGCTTGTGTACAACGACATTAAATATTTTAAATACACGCGACTGCAATTCAGAGGCGACGTTTTTCACTAGTTTCATTCAACAAGCAAATTGATTCCGCCCGCAGACCAGACCTGCCAAACAATCTTTGGCCCTATTGGAGAGCGTTTATTGTTTTTTCCTCGCAAATTTTATTATTATTTTTATTTTTTATTTTTTTTTTTTGTCTTACGGATAAAGGCATAAGTAATACAACAGCAAAACAATTTAATCACTGCGGCATTGCATTTAACGCGATCCCAAAGCAAAAAAATAAAAATAAAAATTACAAAAATAAAACAATTAAGAAAACAAAGTAAAGAACAACAACAAATTGCACAAGAAACGCTCAAATCGGTTAACAGGGAGGGGGTTGGTTGTCGCTAGCCAATACTCAAACCCATTTAACCAGCACTAGACAAAGCAGCTGCAGCTGCAGCTGCAGCGGCAACGGCGACACTAAAACAACAACAACAACAACCAACAAAAACAGTAATAACAAATAGTTCTTTGCTGCCGTCGCTTGCTGTCCCGCACGCTCTCTTTCATTCGCACTGCTGCGATTTGGTGGGGGTGTAGAGTGTAGCGCGTGCTCAAACAAAAACAAAGCACCAGAAACAGAAAGAAAAAAACCAAGCACACAAACACACATATACATAGTCACACACACACACGCATATACACGCTCACTCTTAGAGACACAAGGAGAAAAACAACAAAATCACAACATAGTAGTTCCGCATTTGATATAAGACAAATACAAACATTATTACATAGAGCACGTTTAGGCGTGTGAATGCAAGCAGCAGCGAAGCAACACAGCAATAGCAACAAATAAACAATAATCAAATAACCAAATAACCAAGGACGTATGTGCAGGACACACATACGCAAACCAAATGGATGTCCTGGAATTGCTCCGTGCGAGCGTTAACGGCTGTTATAACATATTATTCTCAGATACCTGGTGTCAATATGTCTTCAAGCAAATCGCCACAACGGTAAGTTTCCCAGCCAACCAATGTTAGTGATAAAGTACAACAACAGTCAATGTTAAGCACACTCATATGCAAATGCACACTCGCATGCACACCACACACACGTGCACAGTTTGCGCTTTCTTTGTTTTGAGAGGGGCTCGTCGTGACTCATGTGTGAGTGTGTGTTTGTACAAAGTTCGGTTCAGTTTAAGCAGGATAACGTGCAAGTGGTTGGTGATTCTGCTCGGCGCGATAAGCGATGATCGTTGAACAACAGCAGCAGCAGCAGCTGTTATTATTGCGTTTGCTTGGCTTGTCTTATTTTCATCTCTTTTTATGTTAACTCACACGCGCAAGCTATATTCATACAGATTTACATACAAACATACATACGCGTCTTGCGTGTGTGTGTGTGTGTTTGGCATTTTGCTTTGCGCACATTTCCGTCAACATAAAACGTTCGGTCACCGTGTTTTGATTCGCAGACAAAAGCTGCTAACTTATATAAACATGCTTAAAGATACAATCATGCATATATATAATATGCATAATATATATATATATATATATATATATATATATATATATATATATATATATATATTTATTTATTTATATATATTTATTTATTTATATGAGTGAGTTTGCATGTACACACGTATGTGTATGTGTAGGTGTATGGGTATGTTTGTCTTATCGTTGGGCACAGCAGTGATAATAGCTTAAAGTGTGACCCCGAAAGCGCATCAGCTATAACTGATTACGCTGATTAGACAGTCAATGACAGTTTCAATTGGATTTAGTTGGGTAAATCACATAAAAATAGCTACGCACGTGCAGCAGCAACGCACCCGCCCCCACACACAGACACACACACACACACACACAACAGAAAAGATATCCAAATCAGTTTGCTATAATTCAATTAACCCCTTAGGGCCAAATCAATTGAGAGCCTTGTCTTGTGACTTGTTGCCAAGCGTCGGTCTAAGACACAAAGGAGGAGCCCAAGCTCAGTTTGCCCGACTAGTCGCTACCCTGTAAACAGCAACGCTGCGGCGCAGCGTGTTAATGTTTATTTATAGAAACACATGTAAATATTGCATTCTGCTAGTCTATATTATATATAGGTACATTCGATATTCACAATTCTATAATAGATTCTTCACACTCATATACATGTACATGATATGAGCATATGTATACATATGTAATAGAATCTGTGGAAGTTCTTTCCGTCAGTCACAGACATTTGCTGTACTTGAGTATACACCCTCTTTACCTTCTTTTTTAAGGGGTAGAAGAACACTTGTATATATGTATGTGTACAATAATAGAACTCATCGCAGGTGCGTGCAAATACTCAAGTACATGCACACACTTACACACATACATAGATATATGTATACTTGGAGTACACATACATAGATATATGTATACTTGGAGTACTCATATTTTTGTAGCATGGTCATACTGAGAATTGAGAGTTATATAGAAAATTTTGTTATCGTGTCGACGCAGCAGCGATTTGGAATTAGCTGGAAATAAGACAATATCAATCGCTTTTTGTTATGATTGCGCTTTATTACGTATGCGCGATTTCAATTTGACATTCGCTGTGCCGCTGCAGCGTTGCTGCCACCAAAGTTGTTTTGATTTTCTATTTGCCGCATATGCTGAAACCTGTTACAGAAATAAATCATAAACGAATAGCAACAAAAATAACAAATAACAATAACAAACGCAAGTGCAACGACAGCGAATGTCAAAAGCAAAGAAAATGCAAATTTAAATGCGGAAGACGCAGAGGGCCCAACAACAGCAACAACAAGTGTTGGCAGCGACGCGTCAATATTAACATCGCCGTCGGCTGTGCATGCAAAAATGTTCTCAATTGACACAAGAGGGAGAGCATAGGAATGAGAGCGCGACAGAGCGCGTACGAGAGTGAATGAGTGAGTGAGTGAGTGGGGGATTTTTAAGTGTGCTCGCCCATAAGAATAAGCATGCATTACTGCTATTCTGCATAAAAAAGTGACAGGCAAGCAGAAGTTTCTAATGCGCTACACTTTTTTTATGCTAATGTCTGAGTCTTATTATGCTCTTGTTCAATGGCGTTGCAGTGAGTAGCGTAGCTGCTAACGGCGTACATTATCTTATTTTATGCATATACATAGGAATGTATATGGCAATGGTTACAAATTGATCTATCGCATTTACATGTGGCTGTCTGCAAGGCCATTCAGAAATCAGTGCCGCCGACATCTTAATTGTTCTTTGTTATTGTTTCTATTGCATGTTTATCGCTCTCTCACATTTGATATTTGTTTTTCTTGCTTTTCTTATTTTCATATCGATATCCGCCCGCAGATGTACTGGTATGGCGCGTTGCTGGTTATCGGAGTACTGTTTATTGCCTGGTTCCTGTATTTCAAGCGTCTTGCCACGGTGCGCCTGCGCGATGAGAATGCCCGTTCGCTGAGTGCTGTCACCGCCGCCTCTGGCGGCGATCATCGCGGCTTGCGATTTCGCAAACGCGACAAAATGCTCTTCTATGGTCGCCGCATGCTGCGCAAAATGAAAAACGTCAGCGGCCAAATGTACAGCAGCGGCAAGGGATATAAACGTCGTGCAGTGATGCGCTTCGCTCGCCGCATCCTACAGCTACAGCGCGAGAATCGTCCGCTCGAAATGAAGACAGTTGAACCACCGGCGGAATATCTGGAGGAGACCATCGATGGCAGCGATCGTGTGCCACCGGATGCTCTCTATATGCTCCAAAGTATTCGCATCTTTGGTCATTTCGAGAAGCCGATCTTCCTGAAGCTCTGCAAGCACACCCAACTGCTTCAGCTAATGGCCGGCGACTATCTGTTCAAGATAACCGATCCGGATGACAGCGTCTACATCGTCCAGTCGGGCATGATCAATGTCTACATTTGCAATGCCGATGGCAGCACACTCTCCTTGAAAACGGTGCGCAAGGGTGAATCGGTGACATCGTTGCTTAGCTTCATCGATGTCCTATCTGGGAATTCCAGCTACTACAAGACGGTTACGGCCAAGGCCATGGAGAAGTCGGTTGTCATTCGGTTGCCTATGCAGGTAATGTTGTCGACTGTCAATAAGAGAAAGATAAAGAGAGAGGAAGTGAGGGAAAGAAAGAATATGAGAGAAAGAAATAGAAAAAAAAGAGAGATAAAGGTATATAGAGAAATATTGAGAAAAAGAGTGAAAGAGAGAGATAGAGAAAAAGAGTGAAAGAGAGAGAGCGAAAAAAGGTGAAAGAGAGGGAGAAAGAGCGAAAGATAAGAGTGAATAACAAAGAAGGAGAGACCGAGGATGAGAAAGCGGGAGTATGAGATAGAGATACGAGGAAAGAGAGAACAACCAATAGCTGAGTTTAGTTGAACTGACAGATACCCTGTAAATGAATAATACAAAATAAGTGACAGATGCCCGGTAAATGCTCCATATAGGGTATATATGATGGAATTTCCGAAATTGTCGTTAAACGAACTCTTTTTCAATTCGACAGGCTTTCGAGGAGGTGTTCAACGAAAATCCGGATGTGATGATACGTGTGATACAGGTGATAATGATACGGCTGCAGCGTGTGCTCTTCACAGCGTTGCGTAATTATTTAGGCCTTAATGCGGAGCTCGTGCAGAATCATATGCGAATCAAGGGCAGCATCCCAATGCCCGTGTCGGTACCTGGAACGGTACTCTCTCAGACATCGCAGGCATCACGTGCGATGGTTTCACGGCCAACAACATCGCCAGTCTCACGGCTGTCACGCGAGGAGCATACACTCTCCGATCCGGATCCCAATCCGAACGCCAGTGCCCTGCTCTTTGCCGAGGTGCACGGCGATGCGCCCTACATTGATCTGTACCACCATCAGCAGCAGCAGTCGAGCGGCGTCTCGACCAGTGGAACGCGCCGCAGCTCAGGCACTTTTACACCCACTGGCAGTGGTGCCGAATCACCGAATGGCACGGGCAATGCCAACGTCACCATCACCAACATCGATCAGCGTCTCGTGCAGTCATCTGCCGTCGACAGTTTGCGCCGTGAGCTTGGCCTCAGCGAAGAGGATGCTAGCATTATTGAGCCGTTCGTTGAGGTCCGCGAACTGGAGCCAAATGTCACGCTAATCACCGAGGGCAATGCCGACGATGTGTGCATTTGGTTTGTGATGACCGGCACCCTGGCCGTCTATCAAAGCAATGCGGATGCCACACGTGCCGCCAAACAGGACAGCAAAAACGATATGCTCATCCATTTCGTGCATCCCGGCGAAATTGTTGGCGGCCTGGCCATGCTCACCGGCGAGGCGAGTGCGTATACCATCAGGGCGCGCAGCAATAGCCGCATCGCCTATATACGGCGTGCTGCCATCTATCAGTGAGTATACCCTGTAATACGTTCGATATCAATGCCGTAATCCTTCAACTTGTGCTCTTTACATATATATTTCGTACGCTTTCCAACACTGACAGAATCATGCGTCAGCGTCCGCGCATTGTGCTCGATTTGGGCAATGGAGTGGTGCGTCGCCTGTCGCCTTTGGTGCGTCAGTGTGATTATGCTCTGGATTGGATATTTCTGGAGTCGGGACGCGCCGTCTATCGGCAGGACGAGAGCAGCGATAGCACATATATTGTGCTGAGCGGACGCATGCGTTCGGTTATCACACATCCCGGCGGCAAAAAGGAGATCATCGGCGAATACGGCAAAGGCGATCTGGTGGGCATTGTCGAAATGATAACCGAAACGTCGCGCACCACAACGGTGATGGCTGTGCGCGATTCGGAGCTGGCCAAACTGCCGGAGGGTCTGTTCAATGCGATCAAATTGCGATATCCGATTGTGGTTACTCGGCTAATTAGTTTCCTGAGCCATCGCTTCCTTGGCTCGATGCAGACACGCGGCGCCAATGCGTCCGGTGCACCCGTCGAGGCAAATCCCGTAACGCACAAATATTCAACAGTGGCACTCGTCCCCATCACAGACGATGTGCCAATCACACCCTTCACCTACGAGCTATATCATTCACTCTGTGCCATTGGTAAGTTCTGGGTCGCTTTAGACCCAATCCGTCGAAAGAGATTTGGTCTGGATATGTGTATTTAGAGAGAGGTACAATCATTTTAGAGGCTAGCCGTTCCATCTCTGTTTTACTTTGATTTCAATTGATTTGGATGTTGTTTGTAATCCTGTTGCTTTCTGTCGCAGGTCCTGTGCTGCGTCTCACATCGGAGGTGGTGCGCAAGCAGTTGGGCAACAATATATTTGAGGCGTCCAACGAATACCGTCTGACCTCGTGGCTGGCTCAGCAGGAGGACCGCAACATAATCACGCTCTATCAATGCGACAGTTCGCTGAGTCCCTGGACACAGCGCTGCATGCGTCAAGCCGATGTGGTGCTAATTGTTGGCCTGGGCGAGCGTTCCCATATGGTTGGCAAATTCGAGCGGGAAATCGATAAGCTCGCGATGCGCACACAAAAGGAGCTCGTCCTGCTCTATCCAGAGACAACGAACGCCAAGCCAGCGAACACGCTTAGCTGGCTCAATGCACGTCCCTGGGTGACCAAGCATCATCATGTGCTCTGTGTCAAACGCATCTTCACCCGCAAGAGTCAATATCGCATTGTGAGTAGGCAGCATTCCTTATGGCCATAACCATTTCGTTCCATTCCATCTAATCGTCTGTCTCTGCCCCTTAGAATGATCTTTATAGCCGCGTGCTGCTGTCTGAGCCGAACATGCATTCCGATTTCTCTCGTCTGGCTCGCTGGCTGACTGGCAATTCGATTGGCTTGGTCTTGGGTGGTGGCGGTGCTCGCGGTGCTGCCCATATTGGCATGCTGAAGGCCATACAGGAGGCGGGCATACCCATTGATATGGTCGGTGGCGTCAGCATTGGCGCCCTAATGGGCGCCCTCTGGTGTTCGGAGCGTAACATAACAACCGTTACGCAGAAGGCGCGCGAATGGTCAAAAGTATGTTAATATGTGTACAAAGATACTGGTTTGCTTACATTCAGATAACCGTATTATCTACTATATAAATCTGTCAATTGCTCAACCCAATTTCCTTTTACAGAAAATGACAAAATGGTTCCTTCAACTACTGGACCTCACATACCCCATAACATCGATGTTCTCAGGCCGTGAATTCAATAAGACCATACACGATACCTTTGGCGATGTGAGCATTGAGGATCTGTGGATACCCTATTTCACGCTCACCACTGACATAACGGCCAGTTGCCATCGCATTCACACCAACGGTGAGTATCCCATTGGCTGCTGTTGCTATCTCATTTATTCATTTACTCATTTACTCATTTTGCTGCTCGTGTAATAGCTAGCTTGCGTTTCACTCTCTATTTCCTTATATTTGCTATGTACGTACATATATATATATATATATATATATATATATATATATATATATATATATATATATATATATATATATATATGCGTTTATTAGTGCTTAATGCTGCTTTAGTTTATATTATTTTTCGCTTTGGTGTTTGATTCTTTAATGTAGCTTGTAGAAAGAACACGAACACACATTTATACATACATAAGCACATGCACGAATATGTACAAACATACATATATGAACCAACTGAGAGACGTTTACGCAAATCCAATTTAAGAGCGACATATTTTACTCTTTCTGTGTGACGCCATCTAGTGGTAGCTCTTTTGAGACATCCTCAAAGCTCTTCTTGTAATTCATGTCGTTGTTATTGTTGTTGTTGTTGTCGTTATAGTTGTTATTCTTCCTGCGAAGAAAAGGGAATTTTTAGTATCTTTTTATAGAAGGAGCTGAAGGCTGACAATTCGCGATTCAGGATATTTTTATTTTATTTTTTTTAATTTTTTTTATATTTTTGTTTAACGTAAATGCTCAATCTTGTTGGATTGTCTGTTGTCAAATGTGCTGCTCTTGTTTTTTTCTCATTCTGCTGACTGTCCTATTTGTGTGTACGTGTTTGTGTCTTAGCTAGAAACTAACATGCTACCAAGTGAATATAATATATATAATAAAATAGAAACCAAATAGAGTCTTAATTAATTAACGAAATGTGATTGGTCAATAATATTCTGTCGCTCGCTCACAAGAAAAGCTCAAACTCAAAGCTCTTTTCCTCTCTCTCTTTATTTCTCTCTTTCCACACACGAAAACACTTACAATAAATACTCACATACTTACACAAACATACAAACACACACATACATGCTCGCTCACTTGCCAAAATAAACTGTCGCAGGATCTCTGTGGCGTTATGTGCGCTCCTCAATGTCACTCAGCGGCTATATGCCGCCCCTATGCGATCCACAAGATGGACATCTTCTGCTGGATGGCGGCTATGTAAATAATTTGCCAGGTAAATAGCAATTAGCAACTTAGCAACTTAAAAAAAAAACAACAAAATTGAAACACATCCGATATAATTTATTCTTTCAATATCAATTTTCAATTTAGAGCTATTGGTGGCACAGACAGAAAGAGAGAGCGCAGAGTGTCGGATTATTTGTCAATGACTGTATAACTGTAACTGTAACTGTATTCTGTTAATTGCATTGCATTGCATACTTGTTCTCCCTTTCCGCTGTATACCTACCCACTGATCCCCCTGATTGCCTGCGTGCACAATAACATTTTCCATTATGTTGGCAACGCTGCTGTCAACTGCTGGCAATGCCGAAACGTATTTCCAATTGGACATTTTGATGTTGATCTCGCTCGCACACACCACACACACACACATATATAGATTTTTGACACATGGATTTAGTTGCAAATATTTTTGGTTTTCGTTTCACATGTAAATTCATGCGTATGTACATAGATGTACTTACATATTTATGATTACGTTTATATTTGAAGCAGACACATTTAGTTGCTGTTGGACTTTTTGAGTTGTGTATTTTGTATTTGTATGTGATTTATTTGATGTACTTTTTGGTGCTGTACAAACAAACACCTTAAACCCTTTTGATCCGTAGCTTAGTACCACAGTAAATATGCATAAAACCGTTATTTCGTTTGCGCACACGAACACACCTACACACAAACACAAACAAACTTGCATATACAGATACATTCACACAGCAACGACGGCAATAAAATTGTGTATTCTTTTTCTCTCTCTCTTCCTCTTCTCTTTTTACCTCCACACATACAAACAAAACTAAACACACGAATATGCATTTGCACATGTATATGTGTGTGTGCCACTCTCACTTACTCTCATGACCACACATACATATTGTCCATTTGGCGTGCGTGCGTGCGTTCGTGCGTTCGTGCGCTTTTGTGTGCGTGTATGTGTATGTGTGCGTGGTACCGTTTGATCAGGTCATCTGTGGCGTTATTGCCGTGCCAGCATGTCTATTGCCGGCGTCTTTCCGCCCTTCTGTGATTATCGTGACGGGCACCTGCTGCTCGATGGATGCTATACGAACAATGTGCCAGGTAACCATTTACAGTAACAGTAACAGTAACAGTATAACAGTGACAGTAACAGTAAGAGTACATGTAAGAGATTCCAACACTGTATTAGATAACTGTTAACAGAAACATTACCCGTAACTGTTACATTAACAGAATCCAACACTCTGCGTCCACTGGACCTACTCAGTCAATCAATAGCTCTCCCAACACTTTAACATTCTCTGCTAACATTTACATGCATTTAACATTTGTATGTTAAAACAACAACGTAGCCGATGTTATGCACAATCTGGGCGCCGCACACATAATTGCCATCGATGTGGGCTCACAGGACGACACGGATCTGACCAACTATGGCGACGATCTCAGCGGCTGGTGGCTGCTCTACAAGAAGTGGAATCCATTTACGTCGCCAGTGAAAGTGCCCGATCTGCCCGACATACAGTCCCGCTTAGCCTACGTGTCCTGCGTGCGGCAACTAGAGGTAAGTGGATAAGATTGAAAATATTTTTAACATTTTCAGTAATCCCTCTGACATCTATTTATAACAGGAAGTGAAAAACTCCGATTACTGCGAATACATACGGCCGCCCATTGATAAATATAAGACACTCGCCTTTGGCAGCTTCGATGAGATACGCGACGTGGGCTACGTCTTTGGCAAGAACTACTTTGATAATATGGCCAAGGCGGGTCGCCTGGGTCGCTTCAATCAGTGGTTCAACAAGGAGCCGCCAAAGCGTGGCAACCACGCCTCCCTCAATGAATACACATTCATTGATCTGGCGCAGATCGTCTGCAAGCTGCCCGAGACGTATGCCTTGAATGCGGTTGATATATTTAGCGAGGACGAGGACTTTGATGGCTACATCTCGGAGCCAACGACTCTCAATATGGTAAAGTTGCTATATGCCAGACTCGAACTGTTTCTTAACTCCTGATGCTCTCTTTTTGTGCAGGATCGCCATCGCATCCAGGTGCCACGGGCTGGCAACTCGCTATCTTTCTCAGAGACTGAACTGGACTCGGATGTGGAGATCGATCTGGAGCTGGAACGCAAGGTGGATAAGTCGACGCAATCGACGCCGCCGACGCCAAACAAAAAGCAGCCATCGACGCCCACATCCAGCCAGGGGAATCTATTGCATTTGCCATTGAATATCAAGGCAAAGGATAAGATACAAATTCTCGATAAGCTGGACAGGGAGCACAAGCGCCGACAGAAATCGAAACACAAGCGCGACAGATCGATGCAGCGTGACAGCAAAGCCACATTGCATCCGGCCGCATTGCATCCGGCCACAATGACCGAGGCGACAACGCAAACGCCAGCCAACGAGGTCGAGGTGGACGCGAAGCAGGATCGACAGCGGGAACAGCAGCAGGAGGACGAGCAGCAGCAGCCGGACCCGGAGAATATTATAAAAAGCGATACCAAAAACTAGCTATAAATATGAAAGACACACACAAACATACACACACATACACACATGTATAAATATATATATATATATATATATATATATATGTATATATATATATATATTTATAAAGCAGAAGCCGGAGTTTGATTGGATAACGAAACCTCCACTAATTATGTAGTTAATCCATGACAACATCAAAAAGTTTGTTAACGCTTAGTTCAATAAGTCTATATCATATTTAGGCATAGCTCTAGCTAATCACACACACACACAGACAGACAGACACCTGCACACACCCTATACAAAAGACACACACACGCCTTGTATATTAATGAGTTATGTATATATATATATATATATATATATATATATATATATATATATATATATATATATATGTTATTTATATACATATATGTATGTATAAGCCTTGATAACAGAGCCAAATATATATATATATATATATATATATACATATTTACTAACACAAACATACCTGATGATATATATGTGTGTGTATATGCCACATACATATAGACTAGTATGTGGGCCCTGCAGCCCTCCATTCAGCTAAACTAACTGCATTCACGATCAACTCTCAGAGCCACATACACACTAACACATACATGCATACACACACACGCTCACACATACGAAAACCCAGCTCCTTAGTTTCTAGTTAAAAAGAAAAGAAGAAAATCGTTTGTTAAAGTTCGATTTTATTTTTTTTTTGTAAGCTGAGCAAGGAAATAAATATAAGAAATTTGAAAGTACAATTCTGAAAGCAAAGCAATTTATTTTGCTTACCTGTAAATAAAACACATACACATATACACGCTCACTTTCGCTTGCGCCTGAAAGCAGGCAACATTAAATTTGCTTGCAGCAGATCGAATGGATTCGAAATGAATGTCAAGTATTGAGTTCGAATGAGGTTCGAAAATTTGAATTAATTTATTAATGGCAACATGCCTGTGTTGCTTCGAGACAACTTCGAAAAGTTTTTGTATTTCGAAATATTCGAAAATAGTTGAATTTCTTATCAAACCAATGCTGCCTTGAAATGTTATCTGAGCTAGTGTTCGAAAACGTATATATTTCATTCGATAGCAGACATTGAGACTACTTCGAAAAGTTCGAAGATGAATTCGATGTCGAATGAATGCAACTTCAACCGTTTGGTAAAATTTGGTTTGAAATTTAATCAATTGCTGTGCCGCAATCGAGTTCGAAAATTGATGTTTCGAAAATTGAGCATATAGCGTGCTAATTATTGAAAGTTCGGAAGGGTTTTCGAACTATAATGCTTATGTCAACATTTTTGGCCACATTCGAAAATACTTCGAAATCGAACAAGTTGTCAAATTTGATTCGAATTGTGATCTGTGGTGCGAGCGAGTTCGAAAATGCATAATTCGAATATTGAGCGTCATCTTTGAAAGTTCGAAAGCATTTTCGAACTACAATATTTATGTCAACCATTTTGTGTATATTCGAAGCTACTTCGAAAATGAATTCGAAATCGAACTAATTGTCCAATTTTACTAATTTCGAAATTTTACCTGTGATAGCTGCGAGTGAGTTCGACTTTGAGCTACACGCACACATATACCCTATATGTGGACACATTGGGCTAGGGTATTATGAATTTAGTATATTCGCATAAGTGAACGAAGGAGCTTAACATACATACATACATACATATATATAGAGTATATACAAAAGAGCGGAAGGAACAAGGATCAGTCATCACACAGGAGCAGCTCGTCGAAGAGTTCGGCCAGGAAGCGGGCGTCGAGCACCTGCTGGGCAATTGGCAGCTGCTGCGGCGGCTGCGGCGGCGGCGGCGGCGACGACGGCGGCAACTGCTGCTGCTTGACCAGCAGTGGCGGCGACTCCCGCGGCATGTCCAGCTGTGTGTGCTGGCGCCACAGTTCGAAAGGATACGACTTGAACACATACACATAGTTGCCATCTTCCAGGAGCTGCTCTGTGCCCGCGACAGGTGACTTGGCACGTGCTGCGGCAGCTGCTGTGGCTGCTGGGGCAGCAACTGTTGCCATTGACTTGACTGTGCGCCTTGGCTTGACTGGTCGCATTGTCAGCTGCTGTCCAACCACGAGCAGCTCCAAAGGCTGCGCCTTGACATTTGCCTTCTTGAGCGGCGCTGCAGCTCGTCGCTGTCGGCCAGTGCTGCCCAGGCTCATTTTGACCAATTTATATGTTATATGAGTGTGTGTGTGTGTGTGTGTGTGTCTGTGCGTGTTTGTATGTATGTAGAGCGAATGTTTGGTATTTCAATTGGTTTGCTTCTGGATATCGTTTGCACACCTAAATTTAGCTACAATTTTTACTGAACTCTAAAGGCACAGCTAGCTGAAAGCACAGCTAGAGCTGGTCCTAGGTCGGCTGTGATCGACTGGCAAATGCCCTGTGCCTGTGGCAGGCCTACAACGACGCATGGGGCACACAGCAAGCGTCCTTTTTGCGCCTCAGCAAGCTAAGCGTTGAGCAGGTCCCACTCCAAGGCTAGCTAACGATCAAAGTTGCTGTCTGCTGGGGCTGGCCACGCCCACACTGTGCACTGCGAACATCCGATCTGAATTGGAAATTAATTTGGAGACATTCGCCTACTCTGTCGCGCCTGCACTAGTGTTGCCTAATGCGAAAACAATGGCAATTGGCAGAAATTAGTGTTGCTGCCGTGCGAGCAGTCAGTGTGACCCATGCGCAAAAAGTCCTGGCCATGGGCAGCACCTTGAGGCGCAGAGTGTGCTTTGAGAAGTGCTTCGGTGTAGAGCACAGATTCGTCTCAACTCAGTCAGAAAATGGATTCAGAGGCAGAGGCCGCTGCAGCTGCGCAGCAGACCGAATGCACTCGGACGATGTTGGTGGGCATAGCCACCGGACCAGCACCAGGCAAGCGACAATTCTAATCGAATTCTTTACATTTCCTATTTCTTCTTCTTCTTCGGATGCTGCAGCTGCTGCAGCTGTTTCTTCTTCTTGCGCTTTGATTCTAGCCGCAACTTTTATTTGCAAACATTCTTTTCACATTTTCACGTTCTTCTTCTTACCTTCTTCTAACATTCTTTTCTCTCTTTTATGTCAAATAAAAAAATCATTTGCTTTGTAGCTTTTAATTTAATTTATTTTTTTTAACTTATTTCAATTTTAATTTATTTATTTATCAGTTTTTATTTAACATTTTTTTCATAATGTTTGCAGTTTTATTTTTATTATTTTAATTTAAATTTTTTTCCATAATTGTTAAATTTTTTTATCTTGTTTTATTTTACTTATCACCTCTCTCTGATCAATTTTATTTTATTTATTTTATTTATTCTTTTTAATTTTGAAATTATTTTTCTTTCTAAAGAATTTTTCAACAATAATTTATAGTTCTTATTTTTAATTTAAGTTTTCATAGTTATATTTAATTTACATTTTATTTTATAGCTTAAATATTTTTATTTTTATTTTTATTTTTTAGAATTTTCACTTCGTTCTCTTTTTAAAATTATTAATTATTTAATTTTTTTGACACTTTTTTCTGCACAACACAATATTTTAAAAATATTATTTCCAAGCTTAATATTTTTTTTATTTAATTGCCCTTTTTTTAATTTTAAACTCTTTCTTACTTACTTTTATTTTATTTTTATTTATTTTTCTATTATTTTTATTTATTTGCTATACCTTAATATTTCTTTTTTTTTTAGAACTTTTTAATTTTTTCTTTGTAACATAAAGTTTTTAACGTTTTTTAGAGATTTTCTTCAATGCACACATTTTTTATATATTTTTTATATTTTTTTTACCTAACTATATCTTTCTTAAAATTATTTTAAGCTTTTCAATTTTAGATACAATACATAAAAATTTGTAAGCTTGTTTTTAAGCATTTTTTCTGTATTTAAAAATTATTTAAAAACGATTTTTAGTCTTTTATTTCCTGCTTCAAAAAATATTTGTGGCTTGATTTTTTTTTTAATTTTTCGATTTTTCTTTGTATTGTTTATTTTTTATTTATATATTATATTATTTTTTATAATAATTTTGAGCTTCTCTCTTCCACAGCGAAAAAGAATAAGCATCATCATGTGCCGCCCAAGTATGTGACGAACAGGAATCCTCGCTATTTGCCCAATTTGACGGAGCTGGTTTTGGCCAAGGGGCACATCGATGTGGACGGGATTGTGTTGAGCGCGCTCTCGCCGCTGGAGCATCGACACGATTCGGCGGCGGCGCAGAGCTCGCAGGAGACTCGCTGCATCGTTTTCGAGATACCGCGCCAGCTGTTCCCAAGGAATGCGCCGCTGCACAAGATGACGTACTTGCCGCCGCAGCTGCTGCCAAAGGATTTCAATGCTGGCGGCGTTTTTCCGGCCGGCGTGCTGGCCCACAAGTTCTATCCGAGCGGGCTGCTGCAGCCGCGCCATTGTGGGCCGACGCCGCCACTGTTCGTGGGCCGCCGCCGCATGGCGGAGGTTCAGTCTCAGCACCGGAGTCAGCCGTACGCATGCGCCGCCCTGCTGGGCCTGCCACTCACCAGGATACCGTCGCCAATTCCAACGGGCGTGCCCAATGATCGCAGCATCCGGCCTGAACGCCTGCATCCGGAGATGTGCGTTGGCTATATCATTGCACATGCCGATTCGCTGGCCAAGGTGGATCGCTTTGCCCATCACCAGACCCAGTATCGCATCTATGTGCCCGATCTGAGCACTGTGCCGATGATGGTGCACTACCAGACGCGGCTGTGCATCACCGTGCTCTCCGATGTCGTCCATCCGCATGAGTCGGAGGTCGCCTGCGCTGTGATGCGTGAGGAGACGCCCAAGTTTCAGTTGCCTCCAGAATATTTCTCGCTGCAATCGGGCATGATCAGGCGTGATCCGGTTTACTTGCCACAGCGCCACCTGCCGCCTGGCTTCGATGCCGGCTGTGTCTTTGGCCCGGGCACCCTGCCCCCAGCCCTGTTCCGGGATCTGCTCAGCGAAGCTCCGCCTCAGATGCAGCGCAACATTTCGATCATGCCGCCGATCTTTATTGGCCAGTGGAAGGAGAAGATGACGCCAGCGATGTTCATCTTTCCCAAGCAGAGCTGCATGAAGAACATGCTGCCACCGAACACAACGGATCACCTGGTGGACGAGATTAGGGTGGTGCGCAACGAGCTAAAGTCATTGCCCAAGCTCAGCGAGCTCGAGCGGCATCTCAACTTTCCGGTACGGAGCAGTCGACAGATCGAACAGCCAGCGGCAGTGGATGAGGACGCAGATGACTTCAAGGAGGAATATCTAGAGGAGTCCTTGGACGAGCTGGACAAATACAAATACGAAGAAGAAGTGACACAGCTGCAAGAACTAACAGACGAGGATAATCGCTCGACGACGCCCTTTTATGATAGCGAAGATGACCGGGAAACAACGCCATTCCAGGAGGATATGGAGAATGAGGAAGAGGAAGAGGAGGAGGAAGAGGAGGAGGAGGAAGAGGAGGAAGAGGAGGAAGAGGAGGAGGAAGAGGAGGAGGAGGAGGTGGTGGAAGTGGAAGAGGAGGAGGAGGAAGTTGAGGAGGAGGAGTTTGAGGAGGAGGAGTTTGAGGAGGAGGAGTTTGAGGAGGAGGAGTTTGAGGAGGAGGAGTTTGAGGAGGAGCAGGTTGAGGAGCTTGAGGAGCTTGAGGAGCTTGAGGAGATTGAGGAAATTGAGGAGATTGAGGAGGTTGAGGAAGTTGAAGAGGTTGATGAGATTGATGAGGTTGATGAGATTGATGAGGTTGAGGAGATTGAGGAGGTTGAGGAGGAGGAGGAGGTTGAGGAGGAGGAGGAGGATGATGAGGATTATGAGGATTATGATGAGGAGGAATCATATGGCCTGCTTCCGAAAGGCGGCATCTGGTTCTTTACGCTCAGCGGCCAGCCGGACGACATTGCTGATATGATGCACGATCTATCCACAGCTGGCATCACGCTGGCCTCCGACCACTTGGATCAGCATGTGCTGCGGCATGCCCATCTCCAATGGCTCGACCTCCAGTTGCGACGCGACGAGATACGCGAACACATGGTAGCACACCGTTCCGACCCACATCCACGCATTCGCAAGCCTCGTCGCAAACCAAACCCAATCACTCCAACTCCAGCCTCGCCCCTGCCGAATCCCGACAAACGGCTTGGCAGAAGGTGCGAAGAGTGCGGCATGTATTGCAACTAGTTGCTCAGCTCGTTTCGATTATGCATATTTCAAGCAGCGCGCCTACCACAGTCTATCGATACACCTATCGATAAGCACACCTATACACACATATTCATACACATCTATCGCTTGAAGTGCCTTAAGACATGTACACACACACATGCATAAGAATGCATATGTTTACATGCATCTGAATACATATATATGAAGAGATCTTATGGTCATATGCTCAAACATATGTATGTACATACTTACACATACACCTACATATTTCTACATATATTTAAATATTTCTGAAGTCGAATAATTTATTAACTATTTACATTTATAAAAGAGCAACAAAAAATCGCAAAAATAATGGAAATAAATACGTATTTATCACGTCTTTTTTTTTGCATATTTCTTAAATAATTGGTATAAATGAATTGAAAAGTTATAAGAAAAAAAATCCAAATTTTATTATTATTTTTTTTTTTTTTTTTTTTTTGTTAAATTTATATTTTTGTTTTTCTTTTAGGAATTAATAAACTAATTTTGAATTGACACATCGCTTAGCTTACGACTAATATTGAGATTCTAAAAAATGAGTTAATTTAAAAAAAAAAATTGAAGAAAAAAAACGTGCACAATTTGTGAGTGCCCCTAACGCTGGTTGACAACTGCCCACAACTCGCAAAGCCCTGGAAATTAGAAAATGTGCATTGATTTCGTTTACCGATTTTTTTTCGATTAGTTTTGTTGTTTTCTTTTGTTTATACAGTTGTACATTAAACAATATTAGCTTGCAATCATTTAAAACTAATAACAAATTCACAAACAGTTTTCACAATTCATTTTGTTATTATATATTTTATTTATATTATTTTTTCTTTTTAATATTTAATATTTAATTCTTTATTATGATTATTTTTTGTAATTTCTATATATTTATATATTTTTTTAAATTTTTTTAAGCGCTCCTCGTCGTCATTCTCTATGCTCGATTCTCACAATTCGCTTTTCGTTTAACATTTTCTGTGGAATATTTGATAACTGTAAATGTGTTGCATATATATTCTTGTAAATATCCATCGAGTTGTATATATATATATGTGTATGCATATGTCTATATATATATAAACATATATATACATAGGTATATGTGTATATTGTAACTATATTTGAATTAAATTTTCGTTTTCGTTTTTTACATGCACAAACTCATGAGGCCAAAGTTTTTGTTTGTCTGTGTGTGTGTTTGTGAATGTGTGAGTGTGTGTATATGTGTGTGTGTATAGCTTAGATAAACCTAACCAAATATCAATACAGTGGACATCTTGATCTACAGAGTGCATTAGTAGGATTAGAGCAAAAGACGTTGCATAATTATTTCAACAATATTTATAAGTCATACAGTTTAAATATTTCAGAAAGTTGTGTGTTCATAGAGTATATATATATATTTATAATATAATATAACATAATAATGTTTATAGTTAGCGTATTGTGTCTTTTATTTATTTTTTTATATATTGATTTATTTTGTTTTGTTTTTTTTTTTATTTTCGTTAGGTGCATGTATATATATATATATATATATATATATATATATATATATATATATATATATATATATACATATATATACATACATACATACATTCATATGCATAGTTTTATAAATATATATATATGTATATATATTTATATATATATATATATATATATATATATATATATATGAATGAGATTTTTATCTGTTTCTCTCTATATACATACACATATATATCTATATCTATATATATATATATGTTTATATATATATCAAATATGACTCGTTATAACTACATCCTGGCTGCTCCTCATCACTGTATGCATATATATATATACATATATATATATATATATACATATATATATATATATATATATATATATATACATATATATATATATATATATATATATATATATATATATATATATATATATACCTATACATATACATATTTATATATACACATATACATATACATATTTATCATAGGCAATCGCCGGATAGGGCGCGCAACTAGAAATATGTTTGTATATGTTAAGCGCGAAACATTTTTGTTTTTTGTTTTTTTTTTGTTTTTTTTTTTTTTTTTTGTAAGACAGAACATTGTGTGTGTGTGTGTATGTGTATGTGTGTGTGTGTTTGTGTGTGTGTGGGGAGGGGGGAGCTGATGAGAGACCAGGTATATGCAGCTTAGACCCAGATGCAATTTGCACTGCATCGCATCGCATCGCATCGCACCGTTTTCATAGATCAAAACGTAGCTGGGGTGGAGGGAGGTGAGGGTTCGAATCACGCTTTCGGTTTGGTTTGATTTCTTTCGCTCTCTCTCCTTCCGGCTTAGATCTGGCCAACCAGCTCCTGTATGCTGCGCAATAGGTCTTCCATGTTTCACAAGAGATCACGATGGAACACCCATGTATGCTTTGTGTGTGCAAATTTATGTGAAAGCCACTGTGATTCCAGCAAATTGAATCGATCTTGACTCAGATACAGCGGCTTGCCGCGTCTGCAACAAAACGCATTCATCAATAATTAGCCAAATTCCATTGGATCTTGCACGTAACACCTACTTGAGATCACGATCCTCCTCATCGAAATCATCCAGATAGAGTGAGCCCCACAGGCAGGCGCGTCGCCCCCTAATGACAATTATATACGTCGAGGTGACAACCAAAAAGATGCCAATGCCGCCGCCGCAGGATAGTGTGTGCTAATTAAGATGCAAGACAAATCATTTGATCAATCAGATATATATATATATATATATATGATGTTTATATATACCCGCACGGCTTCACAGCATTCCTTTTCGGCACAGCAGTTCTGCTTGAGGCACACAATTGTGCCGCACAGCAAACAAATGGAACTCTCCTTCGGCACCTTATAGCAGTTGAGGCATGGACGTTCATGATAGTACTGTAAACATAATGTAAATATGAATCATAATCAATATATATCAGAGCTTAAGTCTTAGCATTTCTCAGTGAACAATTATCTATCATGTTAACTGGCTATCAAATTTGTCTGTCAAGTGAACTGGTTACCAACTGTTAGCGACTTTCTGTTAACATATGCCTGCAGACTATTTAAACAGCGGCTTAATTGGTTATGTAGTCTTAACATTTGTCTGCTATGTTAAGTGCATAGCAAATGTAGCTAAACATCTTTTAAGTTAAATGTCTTTTGTCTTTTAAGTTAACTGTTAAGGAAATAGGTTAACATATTTCTCCTATGTTAATGCTATGTTAATGTTTTAACATAACGTACATTTGGATTTCCATGTAATATTTTCAAATACTTGCAAAATCTCTCTCTCTCTCTTTCTCTCTTGCTGCAAACACTCACCGTAAAGAGACGCTCGTATTCGCGCGGCAGCTCTAGCAGACGCGGCTGCTGCCACAGCGAGTGTTGGTTCATGAGTATCAGCTCGCGCACCGTATCGGATGGCGGATGAACGTCCATTAGCTGCTTGCACCAAAACTGTGGCAAGGTATGCTCGGTGCCGGGTATAAAGCATAATCCCTTCGATGCATTAAAGCAATCCCAGTCCATGGAATCTGTGACCAGTTCCAAATAGTAAACCAAACGCACAAATTCCAGGCCAGGCGCCGATATCTCTGGCATCTCGTGCCTATATAGATGTTGACGCAGCAGCGCGGCAATTCGCAAAAATGGCAAACACAACGATTGCAGCTGCAGCTCCATTGACTTCAGATTGAGCTCAGTGTCCGTTCGGCTGCTGGTGCTGCTGTTGCCACCAGCTGCTCCTGCTGTTGTTGTTGTGGTGTTGGTGGTGCTGCTGCTGCTACTGGTGCTGGGCAGGCTGTCACGTCGCAGATGCGTTAGACGATTCGTTTGATTTAGTACCAAGGCCATCGCCCTGCCCAACTCCGCACAGCTCTGCGCTGGGCCAAAACGTGCGCTGCTGCTGCGACGATTGCTACCGCTGCTCCCGCTCCCACTGCTGCTATTCGCTGCTGCTGCTGCTGCTGCTGCTGCTGCTGCAGCAGTTTCTGTTGCTGCTGTGGCGGGCGACCCAACTGGAACTGCTTCGCTGCTGTAATTGGCCAAAATGTGATCGCACTCGAGCTCGGTGAGCGTAACGCACAACTGCGCAACAATCTGATAGTAGAGCAGATTGTACATGACCTTAACCATGCAGGTGAAGTAATCTATGGACAAAGAAAACGGTTAGCGCCTGCAGCCTGCAGTGGTAGCTGTCGCATCGACTTACCCTGATCGAGATGCAGCGGCGCCAGCAATATGAATTTGAGCAGTAGCGCTATGGGATCCGCCAGCAGACTGGGAATCACCTCGCGACAATGCGTGGGCAATGGCTCCGCGTCGGTGACCGGCATCCCGGCCAGCGATGCCCAGCTGCTCCACAGCGGCCATTCGACCAGGACGCGCACATGCACCGACAGCACATGCAACAGTGGCACAATGCAATCCCGTTTCGGCTTGTAGCGCGTCGCATTCGAGGAGCACAGCGACCCACCCCGTTGTATGATCTCTGCCTCCAGATTGGTGCGCGCTATCGATGTCACAAATATGAACAGCTTCCGAAATGTGATCTTCGAAGATTTGACCTTGCGCTGCGCTATGTTGGTCATCACCTCCATGGCATGACCCATGGCCTCGATTAGTTTTGTCGGTTGCTAAAAGGAAGAGAGTTCATCAAATAATATTCTCTGCATTCCAGTTCAATGTCAATTTTTCTCTTAAAGTTAACATCATTTGCTCTGTTAACAGCTTCTGTTAACGTTACGTTAGGAGAAGTAACATTAGACGACTCTTCAGGCTTCACTTGTAGGCGAACTTTTTTTTATCTCAGTTCGCAATTTTCGCTTATCAAACTGCGATGTTTATTGTTATCAATTTACATGCTACGCTCCTCATTCTTTATCTCAATATTTCCATTATTTTTCCTAACTCCAACTATGATGTTAGCGACGTTGTGTAGAACGTTTTCAATTCTTCTTATTTTGTTCTCTGAATCATCATCTCTATCTGTTCAACTGTCTATCCCTATCTATATCTCTATATCTCTATATATATCTCTCTCTCTCTATCTCTCTATATCTCTATATATCTCTCTCTCTCTCTATCTCTATCTCTATCTCTATCTCTATCTCTATCTCTATCTCTATCTCTATCTCTATCTCTATCTCTATCTCTATCTCTATCTCTATCTCTATCTCTATCTCTATCTCTATCTCTATCTCTATCTCTATCTCTATCTCTATCTCTATCTCTATCTCTATCTCTATCTCTATCTCTATCTCTATCTCTATCTCTATCTCTATCTCTATCTCTACCTCCATCTCCATCGTTCTTGCCCATTCTGTTAAGAAAGCTTTCTATGTTATACGTTAACAGTTGCTGAGCTGTTAACAGTTACTGAGCTGTTAACAGTGCTGTTTTCTAGATAACTATGTTATACATATGTTACACGCCGTATAACAGAGCATATAACAGTTTTACAAAGAACAAAGACTTGACTATGGACGTGGAAAGAAAAATTCAAGTTGAAGTTGAAGTTGCGGACTTACCGGTATCGTTTCATTCTCCTTGATCAGATCAGTGAGATCGGCGACTAGCTGCTCGAACGGCTGATTGCCGGAGCGGACCAGATGCGTCGGCCTGTCCAGCTGTGGACTGAGTGGAAGCACAGAGTTTGATAGCTGTCGGCAGACAGGACAATAGAATTCGCCACGATCCTGCACGGGCTGTCGTTGCGTCGTGTAGAGCGTCTTCAGATACGCCTCCAGGCAGCTGAGATGCACATGATGGCCGCACGACTGCACATGGACGCCGTTGTCGTAGGCCATGTTATTGGATAGATACCACGACTCGTCGCCAAACTTGAGCCCAAGCAGTTCGGTGCGCCGGGCAAATTCGCTGGCCAATCGCGTGGTGTGCGCCAAACGCTCTTTGTCCGTATCATTTAGGGGCAGGGGCAGACGTTCGGCAATGCGACGTCGATGGCCAACGATGCCGCTGGACTCGACCAGGACAACGAGGCCAATGGGATTCGTTTCGGTGCTGGCCGTTGTGCAATTGCAGATGATGCAATCGTATTCCTTTTCCCTTGGCTGCTCCTCGTACATGGCCTCCTCGTCCTCATCCTCCGGCCCAAAGTCCATATTGTTGGCCGCCGCCGCGGCCGATTGCATAAACTGTTTCTGCTTATTGGCAAAGTCCTGCATCATTTTCTGTTGCCGCTCGCGTGCCTTCTTTCGGCGCTCCTCCTTCTCCTTGGTCTCGCGCGCACGCGCCTCCGCCTGTTTCTCGCGCTGATTGGGCCAGAGTCGCGCCCGTATATCATCGATGCTCTGCGCACACTGCTCATCCCGTGTCGCGATCTTGCGCAGCAGATTCCCAATGAAGAAGGGCCCGTCGCCGATGCGTGAATTGGACACTCGGATGTGCTTATAGCTAGAGCTAAAATGATGGCCACGCTCGGCCAGCGCTGTGCTCGTCGAGGTGCTCGCCTCATTACAGTCCACATCCATGGCCGAGGGCGAGGCCGAGGCCGTAGAGTTGCTGCTGCTGTTGCTGCTACCACTGCCGCCATCGCTGAGCGAGAAGCTGTCCAAATTGCCGCTTAGCTGCGAATGCAGCTTGAGCAGCAGCGACAATATGCTCTCATCCATATGTAGCTCATCCTTGTTGCCGGGGCCACCGATGGCAATGTCAACGGTTCGCTTGCGTCCGCCACTTGGATCGTAGCTCATACGACTGCTGGCACCAACAACAGCACCGCTGCTCAACGCATTCGATGGCACCACATCCATGTTGCTGCTAGGCACAGCCACTGGCAGACGCACCCGCTGGAAGGGCAACAGCATGCCGCCCGTTGGCGTTGTGGGTGAGAACATTTCATTGGTTGTGTTCGTGGAGCCAGTGTGACGTGGCTCACGCTCCCTATCCCGATCCCGATCCCTATCCCTATCTCGATCCCTATCACGATCGTCGTGCGTCAATGCCGCTCCAGTTGCTGTTGATGTCGTCGTCTCGGCTAGCAGGAGATCACGTCTTATGGCCACTTCCATGCCGCTCTCGGGCAGCGTTATCTGTTGCAATGGAAAATGATGAAAATCGGCCGTGGCCGGACTCATATCCATGGCCGCATCATGGCCATCGGCATCATTGCCATCCGGCTGTAGTAAAACAACGCCCGTTTCGGCAACCACCGACAGATCGGGCACCAATGCCACCTCCATGCGCATGCGTGTGAGCGCATTATTGTTGCGCTGCTGTTGCGTGCGTGCCACACTCATTGCACCCGATGTTTCATCGAGATCATCCAGGCCGTAGGTGTCGCCAATCATGCGCATTGCTCCCGTATCGACATCGAAGTCCAGATCTGTGAAGAACGGATTCGAGCGGTAGCTGGACGTGGTCACCTGTGGATCACGCGACTTTAGCGAAACCTTTGTCACCACATGTCGCAGATTGCAGCTGAGATTGTCCGTGGGATAACAGTGGAAGAGCTTGGGCGGCTCACGTCTATTGCCGCCATAATAGTAGCCAGATTTATGCTGCGGCTCACACTCGACCATGGCAACTGGTGAGGCTGCAGCGCCGCCAAACGAATTGGACGATGTGCCAGCTCCTGATCCCGCTCCGGCTGCATTTATATCGCTGCTCGTCTCCACGGCTATCTCCAGCAGAAAGACAGCCAAGGCGAGCAGATGCTCGGACACATCTCGCGTGTGCACGGCCCGAAAGAAAATCGACAATATGGTCGAGTGGAAGAGACGGGAGTTAAGAATTCGGCAGGGATCGGTGAATGAGCTGCCCACCGGCAATGGCAATCGAAAAGGTGGCCATAAATTTCCACTGGCTGGCATTTTGTCCTTGGACTTCACATAGTTGGTGAAGCGATCCAGCGACGATTGGAAGTCACGCCGATGCACAGCGCGCAGCAGCACATGCAATGGATCATAATATTCCTCCCACACCTCATCGATGGGAGTGAAGAGACCCTGTTCCAGATTCTCTGATCCGCTAGATGGGGCCTTATATACGGAAAGCTTCTTGAGGAACGTCTCAAAGTTCTTTGTATGCACATTGCCCGAACGCTCGGGCATCAGTTCAAGCAGCTGCGAGTGTGTCTTATTTTCAGTTGCCAATAGGGCGCTAATCTCAATGATGCATTGGGTGGCCTCATCGTTGCCTAAATTGGTGCGACTTGTCACCAGGGTGGCCAGGAATGTGAGGAAGCCCTCTAGCATCGATGATTGTTCCGGTTTTTGCGGCTGTTTCAGCGGCGCCGTTTCCAGCCATTGACCCACGTCGAACAATTCGATCGTATTTTGCAGAAAGAAGTATTGCGACAGGTTTGTTGCGCAAATTTGCAAAAAGAATAGATCCATGTCGGCCATGGAATTGCAAAAGTTCGCTTGTATGTAGGTCATTGCTTGGCCCTTGATTTGCAGACCGTTGCGCACCCATTTTCCGGCAAGAATTTCGTAGAAAAAGCTCTACAAAATAAATAAAAAATAATGAACATGTATTAAATAATGGAAAATTTTAATTATTTGATAAGTTTGTTATTATCAAAATTGTTATCAAATTTAACTATCTCTTTAATGTGTTGCTCGATTCAAAGTTCAAAATAAGAGGGAAAGTCCCATATTCGAATGTCAACAAACGCACGATAAGCAAGTCAAAAAAAAAGCATAGTGTTGTATGCAGTCACGGTAATCGAAATCATAACGACTCGAATCGATAACATGACAACTGAAAAGATTCAAATTTATAAAACAAAAACGAAAATAGCGATTTTAAATAACCCCATACTTGAATATTGTTATCGATAAGATTTAGCGACCGGATTTAAACGAATTATTCAAAAGTAAATTTTTCAACAGTGTGGCAGCACTGCGAAGGCCGATACGCATGTTTGTTGCTGTGTGTTATTGTTTGCTCACTCGCACTTATGCGTTGACCTATGCTGCTCGCGTGCAACTGTAAAAATTTAACAAAGAGAAAATGTCTTGAGCGCAAAAGAAGTACAGAAATACAAACTAAGCTAACGGCGAGAGCAGCCATCACAGACAAAAAATGAGCCACAGATAGAAGCGACCGCAGTTACCGCCATTCGCGTTTTGCCTTTCAACTGACGTAGTTGAGTGAATTCCAGTCGCTAGGCAATTGTTGCTGTTGTTGTAGTGCTCGTGTTGTATTGTTTTGGTGTCAGCATTACTTGTTTGATTGCAAAAAAAAAAACTTGAGCGAGTCAATAAATAAACCAAACCATGCAGCTGCAGTCACCGAGCACGTTGGTGGTGTTGAGTTTGCTGTTGCTATTGGGCGGCCAACCGACACCAACAGAGGCGGTCATTGAGGATGTATTAGATATAATACATATTGTTAAGGAAGTAACCACCGGTGTTCTCAAGGCGTGGGATATTGTCCAATCGTCGCCATTGGCGCAGAATATTGAATTTCCATTGATGCGCGAAAAACAGCGAAAAGTACTGCAACGCTTAAAGGAAGTCAGCAGACAGATTGACGAGACGGAAGCACAGGTGGGCTAAACACAATTTTTTCATTAATTTAATGTATACTAATCTAAATAATCTTAAACTGCAGCACTCGCAGTATGTGGCGCTGGCTATTGAGTCCGTTAACAACTTCATTAGTAATAATGTACCGTTAATGGGAAAAATGAACGATATATCGGATACGATGAATCGTATCTCGTCACGATACCAGCAAATGCAGAATTACGAGTTATACAAGGATAAGCTAGAGATGAGCACGCTGATCACATTTGCCGAATGGACCGTATCGCCCAATGCCCATTCGGTGCATTATCTCATGGATCGATTGCACTTAACGCTGCTGGGCAATGGCAATGATAATAAGCCAAATTCATCATCTGGCAATTTGCTAACCCAACTGGTGGCTAGCTATGAGGTAACCTAAACGATGCAAATTCCAATTCAAAAAATAGCTTGTGCATGTGAATTTGACTTCCTACATGGATAAATGAATGAATGATTCATCGCGTTGAGTTGGTTTAGTTAGTTAGTTGTTGTTGTCACCGTTGTTGACTTTAAAACGTTCCCAGAAATGGATCCAATTGAACTCGACTTTCCGGTCCAGTCGCTAAACGTCTCTCGCCTTTTGCCTTTGTGTTTATTTGTTCTTAATTTTGCCAATTGGGCAACCCCAAAAGAAAGTCCATAACTTGAACCGCGTCGGTATCAACTCAATATTCATGTGTATTACTCATCGCAAGCCGAAACAGCGGAATGTAATGGGACGGACAGCCACACAAAGCAAAGCCAAAAGATGAGCCACACTCCACACTCGGACACACACACATAAAGCTACATGAATTCAAATATCCACAAATACAAGCGAACGCATGCGAATTAGCAACAAATTTCATTTATTTAATCAATGCTGAAGGTGCGCAAATAACAAAAATGTTAAATTTGCAAAATCAGCCCATGTGTACACACAACCACCCACACACTACAGATATATACATATAAACACGTATATGTGTAAACATCTACTTACATACGCATACTGAGGTCAAAGGTCTTGTCTAATGTAAACAATGCGTACAAACAAACAAACACCAACAAAACGCGAGTTTGAGAATAGGGCAATGCAGCTGCGCTGCCCCCAACAGCGCTTCATCAGGCCTTTGTTTTTTTTTTTAATGCATGTCATGGTGGTGGCACACGAGAGAGACAAAGAGAGAACGCGCGAGAGCATTGAAGCCGAAGAAAAAGTGAAGGTACGAGAGACGGCTTATTGTCGTCTGTACAGCTGATATGTGAATGTGACGTCATAACTATCGACATTAATTTAAGGTTGAGCAGGTGCACACAGCTGATCGTCCATTGTTGCCCGACTCCGCCCCATTGTATCGTAAATATTGTCAGATTTAGCTGAACGTCCAATAGTGCGCACTCTCTCATTTATTCACTCAAACCAATGTGCAAAAAGTGCACACACAGCAGCCACTTTTCGAATGCTTAAACTGCTCTGTGTCTGGTCACACAATGAAGCAAAGCTCAGAGACAGCGTTTTTTTTTACGAACTTGCTCAGCGTCGTCGACAACGAACACAAGACGTGTAGAAAAACGGCATAACCACACAACACAATACGAAAACTAATAAGAATTACAAAAAAAAAGTACTCGAAAGCGGCTCAAGGGAGCGACGAACGCAGTGAACGGGAGTAAATTCTGATTCTAAATGTGTGTGCGTCACACTCACACACACATAGATATACAGTCATATATATACACATACATTCATATATACACACAGCACGCGTTTCACAAAAGTCAGAGCGACTGAAAGCAGCAAACAGTAGCAAAACAACCAGGCAACAGCAGCGACACAACGCTGTTCAGCAACAAATTAAAATAAATCGCAAAATAAAATAATGCAAACAAAACTTAATTGAAATTAAGCATTTAACAAATTACACTACTGCATATGGTAGTGTGAGAACTTACTACAGCGCGAATACACGCATACGTACATGCATGCACATGCATACATATCCAAATTAAAAACCGAGTGGCTGCCTTTGTTCGAAAAGGCTGGCAACGCTTCTTTTGCTACTGCTTACTGGCCATTTTGGCACGCAGCTCAAGAGATAAAAAAAAGGAAGAAAAAGCCAATAACCCTTAGAGAAGTGTCAAAAGATAAACAGTGAATTCCTCGTCAAATCCGTCAATCGCATAAGCTGTACAACGTAAAAGAGCAACGGCAAGAGCAATAACATAATCTCAGCGATAATGTTGTTTTTGCTTATGATACTGATCTATGTTGGCGCTGGCGCTTCTGCGCAGTCAGCATATGTGCATCGGATTCCTATGACTGGGGTGGACGCTCTGCGCATCGAATATTTAAGTTTGGAACGCGCGCTCTGGAATTATTTAAACAAAACGGCAAATAGCCAAAACAACAAGGATACACAACTGCGCAAGGTGTACGATTCGCATCGCAACTTCATCAATAAGAGTCAAATGGGACGCGAATTTGCCAGTGAAAAGTATAAAATCATGCATCATTTTGAGTGGAATCAACTGGAGATGAAATTGGCAGAACTGAATCGTATATTTGACTTTTATAAGGTACCACCATTACACGACATACGATGGCCAGGGCGCCTTGCCCTGAAACCTTCTATATTATTTGAAAATGATTTTTAATTCTTATTAGAACACTCTAATGAAACCAGTGTCGAGCGATGGACTGGAGGAGCGCGCCGTATTGGATTTAGCTGAGACAGTGTTACGCAACGATAAACATTATTCGATGTCGCAAATATTTCAAACAATCGAAGAATATATGGTCAAACAAGCACTTTACTACAGGGCAATGGTGGTTAGTTAGTTAGCTTGTGAATGCATTACATACAAAACATACGCCAAATTACTTGATCTCTCTGTCTCTCTGTCTCTCTCTCTCTCATTCACGCTTATCTCATTCATACGCTTATCGGTCCCACTGCTTGGCTGGTTGTTTGCACCCTGCAACACGCAGTAGCAAGGCGACACAGCGGAAACGGAATGATGGCTGTCTTTTTTATTTCTATAGAATGTAAATAAAAAAAAATGTGAACGTGAGAGAGAGAAAGAGAGCAAAATCATGCAGCAGATTTTTAATTGGAACGTATGGCAGGTCATAACTGTAATTGAGATGTGCTATTGATAACGTAAACAGGAGTTTAAGTGAAAAAGAGAGAAACGAGAGAAAGAGAATGTATGAATGTTTGTTATTTTTTTTAATAATTGGAATTTATAACAACTCAGCTGTGTTATCGATATTGCAGCAATTATTTAGTGCACGTAACAGAATATCATTTGTTCACATTGCACGCAACAACAATAAACATTTCGGATTTTTTAGGTATCAGCGGATCAAATGTGTCACACAAAACAATCGGCCCAACAATTTGTGTATTCACTGTACACAGATATTGCACTAACCGAATTGAAAGGCTACACAATGATAGAATTCTCATGGATGATGCTGCGCGTATATGGGCGTGGCAATTTCTCACAGGAAGCAGAGTTAATGCGTCGCGACTACGAGAAGCGCACAGAGCGAACATTAAAACTACTTAAAGAGGTGATGAGACGTTCCGATCGCATTATCTGGAGATGTGATCCCGACCGTTTCATACCGAATAAAACATATGACGAAGTGACACGCCTACTGCAGGGCTATATTGAGAACGAAGTGGATCTTAATTCAGATGAGACATGCCGCGAGACATGCTCATTCTATCAATCGACTCGAAGCGAGGGCTGCTTTAAGGAATACTTTTGCTCGCGGCAACCCAAGTGTACGGGTCGCCTCTACAACTGTCAGTTTGTTGACTCCGACATGTGGGTATGCCCGGCGGCAATGAATAGCACGCGTCGCTATGAATATATCGAATACGAAAATGGACGTGTGCTTGGACAGCGTCAGAGATGTGTGCGAGGCACCACTAAGGTGGATAGCTGGTGGCGTTACCTCTTCTGGCATTGCAGCTACTGTTTCTGTCTGTGCGACGAGCAGAGTTTGAAGTCGGATCGTTTCTTCAATCTACGCGAATCCGTGGCGGATGTCAAGCAGAACAAGTGAGTGCACATTCAAATCATCTTTCAAATATAGTTAACAAATTAATTTATTTGCTGCCCATAGTGTGGTCACTGGCCTGCGTTTTGTGAAACGCAATCGTGTGTTCCATCTACAGATACAAGAGGGTCAACTGCTGCCACGTGGCGCCATCAATGAGTCGACATTGTCTTGGAAGCCCGTCGATGATTACAAAATCTTTGATCGAAATGTTGCCAAAGGCATTGACTATCATACTTTGAGCTATGAGAGTCGCTCCATTGATTTGGATGACATCATGAAAACGGATGACTACAGCTTTGTGGTCACCGGTGTACGTTTTCGTCTTCTCGGTGCTCATCTCAATCTCGAAGCGCGGCTCACTGAGTTTGATTTTAAGAAGGGCGAACTCATACAGCCGGAAGTGAACAGCGTTTGGCAATCGAATGACAACACCGATGTTAGCGGCGAACGCAGGTGAGTGCGACATAATGAATAGAAAGCACAAATATCCAATCTATCGTCAATTAACACTACTTTCTCTCTATTGCAGACAAAAGATAAACATCTATAATGCAGATGTGCCCACGAGGACAGTGGTCACCTCGCTGCCAATATCCAAGCACAATCAATATGTCGAATTTGTCAATTCGGGCATGGACAAGGATGCGGCACAGAGCACGGTGCCATTTATAGATATACAGGATGTAGTGTCACAACCGCCGGTGCCATTAGCTGGCATTGGCCTCTACTATAAGGGACGTCCCGGCTATGGTGGCTTTGTGGCACCTAAAATTATCACATATAACTTTACGCCCCACGTTCAAGTGCCAAAAAACATTAAGTAGACGCTGATTATTCGCGATGATAATATAGAACCCATCTCTCAGATAATATAGCTTTCTGTGCATGTATATATATGTATATATGTATATATGTATATATGTACACATGCACACAGACATTGCTGCTTATAAAAAAAAACTTGAATTGAAAATTTTAGTTATAAACAACATACATGTTACCTATTGGCATACACAAAATACATAGGCCTATGTAACTAATAAAACAAAAACAAAATATAAAAAAAATATTTCAATATTTTTCCATTTAAATTATAATGATCGATGTCATTTACGATATCGGCGTTTCTAGCAATGATAACATTTTAGAGACACTCAAAAGCATACTGCTTTCTAGACTAATGAGAAAAGTTTTTATATAAAAAAAAAATTGTAAACGCGAACATATCATGGAGACATTATAACTATATTTCAACCAGCATTTTTTTTTTTTGGAAAAGACTTAGAAATTATATATTGATCTATATAAAATAAAATTCTAGTAAGAACATTTAATATTTATATATAGAGATATCAAACGAATAGTTTCACGAAGAAGTTATAGTATATAGAAAAAACTCTACTCGGCTATTGGTTCTCATCGGAAAATATATATATTTATATATTTTTCCGCTACAGAAATTGTAAGCCAAAACGACCAAAATCTTTCAGACGATTTACTAATTTGTAATGTTTTTAAAGTTCACTTATAAATTGAAAACCAGAAAAATGTATTGAAAAAATACAGCTAAAGAGATACACATGTTCTTCTTATCTCTAGTTGAGCAATAATCGAGAATTTATGCGAGCAGTATATATGACAGATCAGAAAAGTATATACAATGATGTTTACAAGTTATTTAGATATATATTTGTATATATATGTTGGAATTGAGCAACTCACCTGCACTCGCAACGGATGTATCATTAGCAAAGGTAAAATGTCGGGACGTGAGGGTAGTACATCGCTGAGGCTGATGCCCATTTTGGTGACGGCTTGACAGACAAAGGCGGCTAAATATCGATGCAGCGGAAAATGAAATGAGGCCTGCATCATTTCCTCCTATAACAAAGTAAGGAACGAAATGGCAATTAGTAAAGGTAAATGTGAGAAATGCTTTAATTCAATTTTACCAGCGACAATTTGGGCTCCCTGAAGTAGATCGAGTCTAGCCATTCGTGCAGCGTTGTTACACAGTAGTTAATGATCTTTTTGGCGAGATGCGCATGGGTGCCATCCTGCAGATGAGATATGATGGACCACATGGGGTAGGCGCTCGCCTCCAGCTCACATGAGAATGCGGCATAATAGCTATTCGGCTCGAATTCAACATGCGATGCCGTTTCTCTAACATTCACATTCATGCCCTGCAACATTTGCAGGAACTGAAACCACATGTCAATGAGATTATCATCGCGAAGAAAGACCAATGCGACAGACTCATGCGATAGGACATTATTAAAGTCCGATACGAGTGGCCAATAGCAATGATCCTTCATCACTTGCCGTGTACAATCGATCACAAAATGAAAGTTCTTTGAGGGATCTGTAAAATAGACAAGAAAAATACGCAATGAGCAATTCGTTTGAATGTGATTGATTCATTGTATTACCGTGCAGCGTATTTTGTATGAGTATCTTGGACATCATCAGTTTTAAACTGATTATCATCACATGCAACAGCGACAGCTCGTTGACCATTTTAAGGGCCAAGCTTTCATTAGAGAAGAGCTGCACGCTCATATGGACAACCCGGTTGCTAAGCGTATCCGGATCCCTGGACATTTCAAGCACCGATGGAATGCGACTATAGTGCATCACAAATGTTCGCGTCAGATGTTCCTAAACGTATACAAAACACACAATTGTTAAAACTATATGAAACGCAAATTACACGCAGAGATATGCTCACCTTGTAATCCTGATCGGGCAACATGTTGAGCAGAAAGCAGACCAACGTTTGTGGAAATTCAAATTTAAATGTCCAAAATATGAATTCCTCGAGCAGTGTCGTGTGCACCAGTTTCTTGCCCAAAGCTGGCAAATCGCGATACTCATCGGGCGGCTCGGGATTGGGAAACCGATTGACCGCATCCTCATATTTCTCACGATTCGCCTTGAGAAAGCGTCCGTTGCGCGTATCCTGGAAGGGTGTTTCCATAAAATATGAATAGACATCGGCATTGATTAGCGTGCGGGTCATCACTTTGCGCATTATCTCGCCCATATTGTTCAAATCGATTAGCATATTGGCGAAAGCCTCGCACGAATACGCGGTGAGGGCAGGCGCCAATGAAACATCGCTGTCCTCTCGAAAATGTTGCAGCAGACGGAACAGCAACTTTGGCATGATTGCCTCCGCAACGGCCAACAGATTATTGGGCACCGGATCGCGATTGACTCGATTATTGATGCCATGATCACTGCAGAATCCCTCCGCCTTCATCACAGACGTATCGCCGCAATCGCAGGCGCCACCTGCCTGTGACAAGAACATATTAAAGTCATGGTTGGTATGATTGCCCTTCTTAAAGCAATCGCGACATATCGACATGCATGGCGAAATTCCGCAGGTGCGACAGCGATATGCCACCACGTGAGGCACCCAAACCAAACCGCATTTGGCATGATTATCGTAGCTGCGAACTGTAGAAAAAAAATTAAATTAGTTTTTACAAGAAATGGCATTCGAATTTAAATAAAAAAAATCTAATTGTTCCTCATATTTATCGATATTTGCTCATTTGAATTATAACATTTCGATAGTTGTCCCTGATCGGAATGACAAGTTGTTTCGTTACTTGATAAGAATTGATTCGTTATTATCGATTTGCAATAGTGCGATATTCTACACGATACTCTACTCGAAAGCTTGATTATTGACCTTTTGAACTGCATTAAAAAAATCATTGAATTAAATGTAAATGAAAATGCAGTTGTTGCATGCGACATCGATACTTATATCGCTTTTTCAAGTACCTATCGCAAGCAGTAGTACTTGTTGTCAATCAGTGCTACCCATTCAGCTGTTTTGTCGTTATTTCAAGAGCAAAGACGCTAATTTTTAAATAGTGGTTTTACATAATTATCAGCATTTGTTATTATTATGTATTAATATCATAATGAAACTATAATATAATTGATATATACATTTATGTATAAGTAAATGTATCTTTTTAATTTCCTCTCCGAAACTAGCTTTTTTTTAGTCTACGGCTAGCAGCACTGGTGATGTTAGAGTACTTTGCATAGCTCACATATTGGGCGTGATCAACCGCCCAAAGACGAAAACCCGCCTGTCGTTGCTGTTCTTAGTGTTGTTGTTGCCGCTGTTGATACGCTCTTTTTATTGATTTGATTAAATTCCAAAAATAAATATGATGCACTCATTGCTGTTTGGCATATTTAATGTGTTGCGTGACTTGTCTTTGACTTTTCTTTGCCTGGGCCTCGGCAAAAAAGGTCAAGCGTAATGCCGAAGGCTAACAATCGCAAAAGGGCAACAACAAAAAACAGCAGCTAACGCAGTAAACCTGTAAAATTGATTGACAATTTTGTAAAATCTGGCAATAGCGATCGACAAGTTGCCGTGCAACTCTGCGTATGCGTCGCCCCTTCCTCACTTGCTGTCATTGCCTTTTCTTTTATTTTTATTTTGGTTGACAAAGTTCGATCAAATACCCATTTGATGATTTCTGTATTTCTTTCAGCAAATTGAATGAGCAAATGCAATTTATACTGCACACACACAGACATATTTATGTTTGCTTGTATGCGAGCAGTACCAACAACAATAACGGTCGGTCAACGAGGAATTGCAAGGCCCAAAAGATAGTATAATGAAAAAGTAGAACAAGAGCGAGTGAGCGAGCAAAATATATGCAGATTGCACCGTGGTGCCACAGCCGGCATTTGTAATGTAAATTATGTGTGCGATAGTTATGAGCATAGCTTTCGCTCTGTATCACATGCGCTGCCTGCACTGTACATGAAACATGGCGTGTCAACACAATTGTCAAATCAACAACAATGACGGTCAATAAACTTTTCCCAGTGTACTACCTTTCATGTGCGTGTGTGCGCCGAGATGTTACCGAGATGCGTGTGTGTGTGTGTTGTTTCCATGGCACTGGCACGTAGCGTTTTCATTTGCAATTTTGCAATTGCTTGAAATGATTTTCTTATTTGCGCATACACAGAAATATATATATGTTTATATATACATTGTACATATAATCAAGCTTCTTGCTAAATTAAAGCTGAAAAAAAAAAAACATTTGAAAAAAGAGCAAAGCAATCGCTCTCTTTAACAAGGGTGACCACTCAATCAGACGCAGATGCGTTTATTTGTACGGATGCTGCGGAAGCATTACGCAAGGCAAGCCGAACAACAGCTGACAGGCACAAGGTGCAACAGCGCCATGTGCGTGTGTGACAAGTGGGACAGCGACGGCCATCTGGGGGTTGCCAATGTTCGCGACGCACTCTGCCTGGCACAATGTAAATAGATAATGTTGCCAGATTAAATGTGTGCTAAATAGGCTGAAGTTAACGAATGTAAATGTCTCTTTCTGTGTGTAAGTGTATCTGTTTGATTAGGCTCTATGTTCATATATAATTTGATTGTTTTGTTGTTTCTTGTTACCATGGCGTTGCACTGTCACGCTGCTTGCACCTTGCTTTTACTTGCGTGCCATATACCATGCCCTACAACCAACTCAAACAAACACACACAAACGTGCACATACCAACAGCAGGCACTCGCACACATCAATTTTCAGGGGCAACGACTTGCACGATCAGCTGGCTTAGCCCTGGTGTTAACGATACAAATATCGCTAATGCGATTTATCGATAAATTAAATTATAACAATTTTGAGAACTTTGTTATGACGCTCTCTCTCTCTCTTTGTTAGTTTCTGCTTGACTCTTCATTTTTTGTACTTACCAATTTTGACAAATTCCTTGGGCGTGCGACCGCCAGCTATCAGCCAACGTATCCATTCAATATTATCGGGATTGTCGATGGGAGTGCCAGGATTAAATAGTGTATCCATTATGGAATCTAAATCGGGCGTTGGACTGCCACGGCAACATTCTGTATTAATTAAAGCGGCCACATCCTTTCGGCTACGCAATATAAACGACGATGTGCTAAAAAAGAAGGTGGGTTTAGCGCCTGCATTCCCAGCGCCAGCATCGTTCAGTTCCTCTGAGTTCGTTTGCAGTCCGCTGCCGGTATTGCTATTGCCGCTGCGGGCAGCGCTACTCTGTTGTGTATCCCAATCGTGGAACGGTGAATTGCCGGCCGCGCCAGCTTCTGCGGCAACAGTGCGAGCTGCGCCGCTATCTGCGCTTGTAGTGCTGCTGCTCGTACTGCTGCTGCTGCTGCTGGCCACATTTGCCAGCTGAAATTGTTGCCGATATGATTGAAGCTGAACCAGATCGATTCGATCGCGATTGCCCGCTCGTCGTCTGCTGCTACTCTGCTGTTGTTGTATATGATGTTGATGTTGTTGTTGCTGTGGTTGCTGCTGCTGTGGGTGCTGCTGTTCCTGCTCATCGTCGTCATCATCTTCTTCGTCGATACTTATATCAGCATTGGATATGTTGTCATCCTCATCCATGCTTCGGCTGTTGGTGCTGTTATATTGTTTTGTATGTTATCGCCTATCGCTAATCGCCAATCGCGTTTGATATTATTCGCGTTTGGCTGAAAAAGCAGACGACTGCAAATGCCGCTGCCGCTACCGCCGCTGTTGTTGCTTCTGTTTCTGCTTTACTTTGCTTTGCTTTGCACGTCTCAGCTCAGAGTTTAAATTGCCTTTTAGCGTCTTGTTCGTCGTCGTTGTCTCGTCTTGGCGTTTGCTTGTTTCAAACAAGTTTTCTTTTTTGGTTCTTCTTCTTATGCTGCTGCTGTTGCTACTGCCTCGTTTTACACTGCGGGATTTTTGTGTTTGGCTTGAAACATGCCACAAAAAAAAAAAAAAAAAAAAAAATTTATGCTACCTAGCGCTTTAGGGATTTTATTTTTTTTTTTGTTTTTATATAAATATATATATATAGGTATATAAAAGAAATTTGAAAAATTTTGGTGCAACACCTGCACACTCGGATTACGAAAAAAAAAATAGTATACAAAACAAACACACACGGAAAATTTAACAGCACCAAAACACTTGACTCACTATTGTTTTAGCTTTTTTTTTAGCCGCTTCTCACATCTCGCTCCGGTTCTGCTTCAGCTTCTGTTTTCGGTTTTTGTCTCTTGACGTTGCTTGCCCGACCTACTATTATCTATGAACATCCTATGAGCTTATGCGCTGCTTTGGCAGGAGAAACACGAATACATTGTGTGCACATATGTATATATATATCAAAGTATATATATATATATATACAAATAATATATATATATATTGAACGTAGGTCGGACTGCCACTTAACAATCTGCACGATGTTTTATCGAGTTCGCAAATTTCTTATTCACACACATGCTTACTACACAAATACACACGCACTTGCATACACACGAACGCATAGATATATATACATATATGTATATATATTTATATATGTATGTATATAACCAAATATATTACTCGTGCAATGAACTTGCCAATTACAATATCAGTTACTTTCGTTTGTTGGGGTTAACTTTAGCTCGTGCTTAATAACTCATTCGTATTCGTTTAATTTCTTGTACCCACAAACGTGCTGGATTTCGCCTGCTCTTGTGTGTTGAAATTACACAGTCTCTGTATATGTGAATTTTATCTCTTCAATGCTATGTGGTTCTTGTAAAACTGCCAGTCACAGCGATGCGTTGGCACACATAACAAGAAGAAGACTACAGTCAAATCAAGTCAATTGATATCGATAAGCAGTGTGGCATTTAAGTATCGAACAGCTGGTAATTTCACTCATCTTATTTTTATAATATCGAAATTTTAGAATTCAATTAAATTTAATTGCATGAAATAAGTTATATGAATGAAACAAATTGCAGCAAAAATGAATGCACTTAGAGTATCGAGTATGTATACACAGTATGTTTAAAAAATTAGGGGAATTTTTATTTAAATCATGGAATACGTAACGCCATCTATTGAACGTTGATAACATTAGAAAGGTACATGTCTCACCTCACGCAGCTAACAATCGGTTGCCAGATTAAAAAGTTGCCCGCTTTTTAATTACTGTGCGTGTGTCGTAAAAATGTAATGGAACAAAGAGCAAATATTAATTTTTGTTTTAAGCTCTAAAAACTAGACGAGAATATCCAGAGGGGAAACAGCTGTTCGTGAATTTTTGATAGAATAAACAGATTTGTGTCATCGACCACCCTCTGTATTCTCCTGATCTATCGCTATGCTATTTTGTTTCCTTAACTGAAAGCTATGTTTTACGTTTATATATTCGAGCAGGTGTTAAAGAACATTCCTTTAGATGACATGAAAGAGTATGCATAAATTAGTTCAAATGGTTGTATTGAGTTAAATGGAGACTATCTCGAACAAAAAATAACTCAAACATAGTATGATACGTTTTATTCTATCTTAAAATGTGTGTTGTTCATTGACCATACTGTGTATGATAGATAGGAATTTTATAACAAATTTTATATTTTCGATAGAAATCGAAATAACGCAGCACCAACTCAGGCTTAAATTGTTTATTACTACATTATAAGATGTATTTATTTTTAATATATGTAAGAGTTAGCGCTTTTGTTTTATTTGTTTCATATAGAGTTCGGCGTTGACGAGTGAGGGTTGCAGCATCCACAACACAAACACCTGATTGCTTTACAGACGGCGACCGCGACGACCGCCCTTCCTGCGTGTTGAGTCCGATGGGATAGGCGTCACATCCTCGATGCGACCGATTTTCATTGATGAACGTGCGAGAGCGCGCAGCGCCGATTGAGCACCGGGTCCAGGGGTTTTTGTCTTGTTTCCACCGGTCGCACGCAACTTAATGTGCAGGGCCGTAATACCAAGTAGCTTACACTTCTCGGCGACATCCTAAAAGCAAAGACTATCGATTTCAAATATGCTACAAATAAGCTCATCCATATGATTTTATATCACTTACCTGAGCTGCCAACATAGCTGCATAGGGCGATGCCTCATCACGGTCGGCTTTGACTTTCATGCCGCCAGTGACGCGGGCGATTGTCTCACGGCCGGATAAGTCAGTGACGTGCACGAACGTGTCGTTGAAGCTGGCATAGATGTGAGCAACGCCAAAGACGATCTCGCCGTCGCGTACCTGTGGGCCAAGCTGGACTTGTACTTCCTCTTTTTGTACTTTTGCCTTACGGGGCGCCATGTTGTCTCAGACACTACTGTTGAATAAAGCCAAAAGTCGCAATCACCGTTTAATTCTATTGTTTTCAAACAAACAAACAGCACATAAAAAACAAAACAAACAAAAAATAACAAATATGTAATTTTGCAACATCTGTGCCATTTTTACACATTTACGATTTGTAATTGGTTTTTTTGTTAGGCAATTGTATGTAGCACTTGTTTTATGTTTACGTTTTTTGCAAAAGCTGTGATATACGCCTTATTTCTGTGCAAATTGCAAGAGAAAATCTCTAAACAAACCAATTGCGTGAACCGGATATTAGAAAAGAGGGCAACACTATAGGGATGCCAAAAATCATCGATATCGTTTGGGCTATCGATACTTCATGCAACATACGTATTCGATATACCAAAGTATTTAATTACTGCTTACTGTTGGGCGCGCGTTTTTTGAATTTGCATATCTGTTAGTAAAACTTTGTCGAACTGAAGCATTTCAAATGTAAGTACATTACATTTTCGTTTAATATTAAAAGGCTTACAATATTAAATAAGAATTCTTTTATTTGAGTTATGTCATTGGCACAGTGAAGGAGACAGCAGTTAAAATTAAAAAAAATAATCGATTTGATAACGGCTCTGTTTGTATTACGTGCATAGAAAAGAAAGAGATGGCGCTGTTTTACAGTTTTCCTCTTCTCTGATGCATTTCTTATTTATTTATGCACTGTAGTGGTTAAACAATTAATATAGTTAACAGGTAACACAACACAACACTTAGATAATGATGATGAGAATTTTTATTAAAATAATGTGTGAAACAAAAACCATATTGATAATAATCAGACGTGTGGTGCGAATTGAACAAGCGCCTTAATGCGGCGCAACAAAGCTGTATTGAAGTTTTTACACTTCAATGAATACTCTTCGCTGGCGGTAATTAATTGTGTACAAAATGTTTCATTGAAATTGGAAATAAGCATTTGCTTCAGCTGTGTTATCTCATCGTGCGTGGCATTCAGCACGGACATATTGTTGGGATCTGCAAAACAAGATACAAGTAAATAACATAATTACTAAGAATAGAAATTATAAATTCAAATAGATAGAACGTACCCAAACAGGTTTCGTTAATGGACGTACGATTCTCTCGCGAATAGATGACCGCATTGCGAAAATAGAAGTCCAAATGTATCCAAAGTAAATATAAATTCTGTTCAGCTATAAAAACAGCTAACATTAGTTCGTTGTGCTTCTCAGAGTGACGTTGACTCAGTTCCAAATAGTTTTGCTTGCCTAAACAACGGAAATTGAAAATTGCTTACATATGATATTATAGGTTTGACCTACAGCGAGCTTGCCTAAGCCAAACAGTCGACACTAAACTGAAAGCTATACGAGCTTTACTGTACTATTAGATTATAATATTTAAGTAATTCAAGCTAATTTTAGCATCTTTTTGTGGAGCTTACCACTCGGTCCAAATGTTATGTTGGGCAGTGAGGCGCGTTGTTGCACTAAATTGTCAGCAATTGATTTCTGTGACAGGAAATAGGCAATCGAGCCCTTCAGCTGATTCATTATGGTCTGCATAACAGCCGTCAGTTTTTTGCAGTCCGATTTGCCCGAACTGAAAAGGCAAATAGTTAACCAAATATCGTATATATATATATGAGGATTATATGATCAACTTACAGTGGCGTCACATCATTTATCATTGTGGTTATCAAATATTTGGATGTGATGCCATCGCGCACATGACTCGTTACAGCGTGTCGGCAGAACAAGGATAGATTCGCCGTGATATCTAAGAAGAATTTAACATGTTGCCTCTTTTGCTCCTCGGTCAGATCGGGTAGATCGTTTTGGGTGCGCTCCTGACATAGCATGCGTCGTATGGTTTCTTCATTGATCGTGAAACGACCAAAGACCACAATCATCAATTGCTGCAGCCGGCTCAGACGATTATTCATCTCGACGTCGTGATGAATCTTCAAGCATTTCTCAATTGTGGACACGTCGTACGTGGTGGTGCGTGCAAACAGATTTGTGATCGTTGCTAACAGTTTCAAATTGCCCAGCTGCATGAATGGCGATGCAGCACGCAGCATACCCTCGATCATTTCAATGTGAGCGAATAGAAAATTCAACACTTGCAGCGAGGCGGAATTATTGTTAATGCCAAGTGAGTCGATGATGCTATCGCATAGGGACAATGCTGGCATTAGTATGGAACGAAAGCGTGCATCGATCGCTGGTATAAAATTGCTTGGCGAGTGGCGTTCCAGTTCACTCGACTTAATATCCGGCTGCATATCATAGATGGTCATATTGGCTAGCACACCCAATGCACCCTCGCCCAGCAGTAGGGTGGCGCCCAGATGTGTTTCAGCCATTTGCGTTAGGAATGCCATGCACGATTCGTAGACGAAAAGTGGCCGCATATTGTGCGGCATAGGCTTTAGCACTTCACGCAGACTCTCATCCGATTTGGCCAAGCTGCTGAGCAAATGCTTCAAGTAGCCACGCGTTGCTATCGTTTCGCTAAGCGTACTGAACGCGCGCAGCTCAGATATCAGATCCAAACAGGATAACGCTAGCATGCTGCAAACATCGTGACCCGTTATGGCATCATGACATATGGTATCAATCAGTTTTTCGCCCATGCTGCTTATGATCTCAGCCGCCATTTCCTTTTGATAGAACGTATCGCCGTGTGAGCCATCCATTAGGCTGCCATAGCCATCCTTGCGTTCCAGAAAGCTGCAATTAAGACATTAGCATAACTAAATATAGATATACATATATATTATATATAAATATATATATGGCTTACGTTTCATCGTATTCCACTTGCGCCTCGCTACGCACACGCTTCACAATCCGCAGGCAATTGAGCAATGTGGCATATAGATTGATGCTTAGCTTTTGGGATTTCACCTCACAGGTCATAATCCAGTCGATGAGGCGTTTGATTATAAAACGTAAATTGCTGCTGCTGCAGCTGTTCGTGCTCAGCAAATTGCTATTGTTATTATTGCTGTTGATATTATTCATTGTTTTATTGTTGCCGTTGCTCTGATTGTTGCTGGCGTTGTTGGTCGTGTTGGCATTTGAACCCATTTGCTTGGCATCCACAGCACTTGGCATATCCGTTAGGCAAACAACATTGCCATGCTCGTCCAGAGAACGCTGATCCTCTAGCTGATAGTAGCAATGCCTTAAATTAGCCGAAAGCAACAAGATCGTATCGGACACCTGTATGGAGATCTTAATCAGTGGCTGTTGCGGTTCCACCTTTAGCATTATCTTCTCAACGATATCAATGATATGCTGCTTGCGCACACTTATTGGCAGCACCGTATTGGGCATTAGGCTAAACAGCACCTGGACGAGATTACACCAGCCACTCATATAGCTATAGGTGGCAAATCTTTGCATACGCACACCGTTCATTTTGATGGCATATTGCAGGAGGACAGTGATCTCGTCGACAATCGACTTGCGCTGCCCGCTGGCAATGGTGCTCTGTACGTGACGCAGCTCATCATGCAGTATATCATGTAGTTTGTGTATATTGATCATGCCGGCTGCATTACTGCTGCCTTTGCCCTCGCAATCGGTTAGTAAGCTGCCCAAGAGTCGCTCATCGAAAAATTCCAGTTTGGGCTGTACAAGCGTTTGGGTCTCCAGTGTTAAGCAATCGAGCAAGCGATTCGCATGCAGACCCAGCGATGTTGTCTGCAACATTGTCCGACCCGGCAGCACATCGCCAAAGTGATTTGAAGTCGGCGGCGTTAGCATATTGTTGCTTATCTCCAATGGCAAACTGTGTCCATTGCGCTGCGTATCCGAATTGACAGCCAGGAGTATATCCGATAATAGAGCATATCGTGTCGTCTGTCCATATGTGGCAGCCAACTTCATTTCAATGGAGACACAATTCATTAGGTGGCTCATTGCGTGCAGCACGTTATCCTGGTCAGAATGACGGAATGGCATTGCCGTCAAATGACGTAGCAGAAAATCATTGCAGGTCAAACGGAAATAGCGTAAAATTGCCTCCGATGTGCGGCGATTGGCGCAAAGGCCATGGAATAGATGATAGATACGTTCCACAATGTGGGTCGTATGCTCGCAATACTCGTCGCTATGTCGCTGTTGCTGTTCAAAGACGAAAGCAGAGAATCAGTTGTCGTATAACTAACTAACATAAATGTATCTGACTTTACCTCTAGATAGCGCTCGAGCAGCAGCACCATTGAATTGATGCACGAACAATTCACTTCTAGGCCCAGCTGCGGTTGCTTCTCGTTGCCCAGAAAGTCGCGTATGACGTCGATGCCAAGCAGAAAGTATATGAAATTTGGCATTGGCTGGCTCAAATTCGCTTCGAACAGTTCAACAATTGCTTCCTTAATCTGCAGTTCGATGCGCTGGGGCTTCCGTTGATCGAGCGCATCCAGATCCACTTGCATTTCGCTTTCATTCAGATTCCCATTGATCGCATATCTATACTGATCAAAGGTCTTAAGTTGTTGGGATTGTTCCTCATCGTATGTCTGGTGGCAGCGACGCATTTCGAGGCATTCGACAAATCTCTGACGTATCTCGAGTTTCTCGTTGCTGCCATGCGCATACATATTCAATATCTGGGTAACTACATCGGGCAGCAGGCTAACAGCACTCAAGATCTTAATTGCTGCCAACGTGTGACGCGGCAGCCAGCTGTTGAAGCTGACAAATTTAACGATGTTGAGAACGTAGTCGGGATTGCGAGTGCGCGGATTTAGATCGAGCAGCATGCGATTGAGCCCCAGCAACAATATCGAACAATTGGACGTGGCGTGAGCTTCGAAGAAGGCATTTTGCTTAGATAATGCCACCTCAAGCATTAGCAGAGCGTATAGAGCGCATTCCTCGAGCAGCTCTTTGCCATTGAACTGATTGAAGTCGTCGAGGCGTTCGCGTGCCTCCTCAATGATTCGTAGTATTAGGCGCAACATATCCGATTTGACTTGCAGCTGCAGCATTACGTGATAGCCCGGATATGGATGTTCATCGCGTTGCTCTAGGAAATCGGATGCCTTTGGCCGATAGCTGACGAGCAGGAAATATAAAAGCTTCAAGCATTTGGCACCCACTTCCCACTTCTCGGTGACATCCTTATAGGCACGATTATAGAACTTCAACAATATGGATTCGAGCACAAATTTCAAATATGGGTCATAGCCAGGTTTGCGTGGACCACAGCCCAAGCTCCTTGGCATATTTGTGGTCATTAGTGTGTAGAGTAATTGGAGTATGCCTCGACTCAACTTGTATTCCTCCAAGCGACTCTCGTTCTGATTGATCTCCTCCGCTAAGCTGAACTCAGCGTAAGTCGTGGACACGGACGGTATTGTGGGTATAATTTGTGACTCCTCCAAATGAAACCAAATGGTACGTGCCGTCTCCTTGGAGCGCGCCAAGGCCGCAAGCGTGAACAGTATTTCACCCTTAAGCATTACCGGCGTGGCGCACGCTACCAAACCGAGCAACACCTGCGGCGTCTGCCAATTGACCTGGTCGCATAACATTATGCGAGAGATTTCATCTTTCTCGGCAACGGCCTGCATTATGCCCATCACGGCGACCATGTGCTCCGTTTCACGTGGCGTCATATTTCGCGGCATACCAGTGGTGCGATATATCGTGTTGCCAGAATTTGATATCGCATCATAGTCTGTGCGCATATTGCTGTAACGAGTTTGAAGAGATTACAATCAATAATTATTATTGACCTTCTGGGTATGCTCACTTGAAGTAATTGTTGAGCGCATTAAAGAAATGATCCCAGCTAACGGCATAGGTGGAAGATAAATTCTGTGAATTCTTGAGTAGATTGAAAGCGCATCTGGCAGCAAATTCGGTGCGTGTTAAGCCCGCAATCATCTTTAGGTATGATCTGAAGAGCGTTTGCGGCAGCAGTTCGCTGGCTAAGCGTATGAACTTGAACAGGGAGACAGCACGCGAGGTATTTTGTACGTAATTGGCGGCACCGTTTGATGTTGCATCGGTTGGGCCCCAATACTCGTTGCATAGCGTAATTGTGGCACGCTTATCACCATACAGCTTGGCCACGCACAGCATCAGCAGCTCAAAGTTGACATCCAAATTGGGCGGCGGTTCGAGTCCTTCGTTTTGGAAACTAATCACTGTGCGGGCTGTCTCATCGGCACGTCCGCGCAGCTCCGAAACCTTGGCATGCATGAAGTCTATAAAGTCTGTGATGAGCAGATGCAAGCGACGATAAATGAATTCGGTGCTGCAATTATTTGGAAATGGTTTTGGTTTTGGTTATATATATATATATATATATATGTATTGGTAGAGCTTACGCATAGACGACATTCTTATTAAGCAAATGGTGATAGAAGAATGTGAAGACATTTGCTGCGAGCGCCTCATCAATTAGTTGCTCATCCCGATTGATGAGGGCACCAGCATTCGCCTGCAGTTCGCTGGGCGCCTGGCGCAGACTGGCCAATGTTAAGCCAAAGCTATATTTGATCTGGGCATCCAAATATGGTGTCTGCCAGGTATTTTGTGCATAGATTGCATCGTAGAAGCATTTGGCATAGTCCGGATCACTTAATATGGGCAGCCGTGCAGTATGCGGATTATTGCATTCATTTATCAACAATACGGACGTATCATACGCATACATCAAGGCCATCAGCATTATTAATGTGAAATCTTGCAAATTGCCATCGGGATCTGTGGACTTTGTGCTAGCCAAATGCTGAAGCAGACGTATGGCAATATTTTTCGGCAAGCCTCGTTGAGCTGACCAATTGAACAGGGCCATGGCTAAGGCTCTGCGTATATCCTCATAGAGACCAAGCACCTGATTTTGATGCCGTTTCGAGCCAAAAGCTCGATTCTTGGTTAGCAAGTTGATCTATAAAAAGTATAAATATTGAAGTTTAGCTTTTAGTAATGAGTTCAATGTGGACTTTACCTCCTTTTCGATGTCCATTTCGATGAGCAACTCCAGCAGGCGTCCAAGTATATTCGAATCTTCCACTAGATTCTGGCAATAGTTGTTGATCAAAGCGGTCATCTGTAATGGTGATTAAAGCAAGATATATGTCATAGACAATATGCACAATGTCTATATAGCTGCTTACCTCTCTGGGCAGTTCGGTGCTCCAGGAAACGCCGCTAATTGCCTGAAACATGTCGCGCAACGTACAACTAATTGCTTTGCGGCCATCATAGTAGAGCAGTACAGCAACTAAGCCGCGCGGCAAGCCTGGATGATGCACCTGTTGGCGCTGTGCAGTGCAGAGCAGTTCCAGTGAAAAGATCTCATCCAGATCGAACATATCCGACAGTATTATCGCCTCATCGACTATCTCTTGTGACAGTTCCACTTTGCGTGATTGCCCTGCTAGCATGACACCCTCTAGCATGGCATTGCGCAAATGTGTGCGGCTCTTCTCGCTCTTTGGCTAAACCATGAATGTAAGCGTAGGGGCGTGGTCGAGGATGAGGATGAGAGGACGGTTTAGGTTAGGTTTGCATGGCTTGTCTATTGAATTATGAATTCAACTTACCGGATTGCGTAGGAAATTTGTAAAGTTCTGTTTGTACTTTTTGAGACTGAGCTCAAAATCGGCGGTGACTTCGTTCGGATTCCTTATGGCCATTTGGCATATATCATACAGACGCTTGTAAGGCGTCCACATGTCCTCAAGCACGGCTACACCTATACGTATGCAATTTAATTATTATTCAAAATAATTTTATATTTCATGTCGATAGCTGTTGCATACCTTCCATTTTGTGTTAGCGGGTTGCTTTCTTATTAATCACAATAAACTAAAAATAAAGCTTAAGCATAAAACGCGGCAAATGTCTATGTGCCGGCTTGCGAAATTAACAATTTCGATGAACGATATCGATAGCTGTTGCATGCGAAAAAATTGAGTAGGATCGTAGAAGAAAACAAAATGCGCCGCTCAGCTGATTATGATATTACACTTAGGTAGAGTGCAAGCAAAAATTTTATATATTCCGCTGATTTTTTATTATTATTTTACTATACATATAATATATATACAAATAACAGCTGTTGCTGGCTTGCCAAACTTGCAATGTCGATTAACGTCAATAAAATATCGGCTAAACGTTTGGTTCAGCGGATTAAGCCATCACTAATGCACAGTGTATACAACAAATACATATACGTCCCCAAAAACATGTTACAATTGTTTTCAGTTGAACAAGCAAATAAAGATAGTGACAAAACTAATTAAGTCTATGATACCAATGTTCACCGTGCTCGGCAATGTCGATAAATGACAGCTACAGCTGTTTCATGTAAAAACGGATAGAACGTCTCTTGTAGATATGCTACAGTCATGGGTAAATATCGATATATATATAAGAGCGTTGCTCAACACTAATCGAGTTGGCCCACGTGCAGCATAAGTTGTTTATGAAAAATGAAACAATTAATGGAGTCTGATGATAAAAAAAGAGTATGTAACAATGAAAAGTAAAACAATTATGCTCATCCCGTTAAATAAATTCACAGATAAAACACTTGACACTGGAAAACGGCGTGGTAAAGGATGAGAAAAAGGCAGTGCGTCAATTTTACAGGCAATGCAAAAGTGAATTTCTCGAAGAGAATGATTATGCAGCAATTGAACCGATTGAACTATCCAATACATCTAATGAGGCAATACAAAACTTTGATCCAGCGGTACATGATGCCTGGATCGTGCAATGTCCAAAGGGAATCGATATAAATACTTTGACCGGCAAGCGGATTAAGGTGCCCGGTCGACGCTATGTGGGTGATATTCAGGTGAGGACCACCCACTACGAACGTCCATTGAACAATTCCATTGGCTATATGAATAACAAGGGCAAGTATGCTGTACGTCTGTTGCCATTAGCCGGTCATGTAGTTGTCAGTAAGCGTCTAAATATGGAAAAACCTGATGCCGCTGCCAATGAAGAAACGAATGCATTTCCAAAGCCGAGTGTACCACAAAAATTTAGATTACCGGTTCGTCATCCGTTCTTTGGTCGTGATTACAAGACGCGCATTGATGTTGATAAGAAGACAGCGAAAAAGCTACGCAGTGCGGATAAAAACTGTGCTGAAGTGACGGAGAAACTACGTTCCACTGGTAATTTCTATAAGATACGTCAGAGGCTTTTGGCTAGCACACAGACACTGCAGCAGAAGGAGCACGATGTACGTCAATCAGTGCTGACAGGCGTGGCGCCTACATTCTTGCAGAACAGCGAGCACCCCGACTATGTGAATTTGATGAACTCCATCGATGAAGACCAGGTTAAGCAAGACAAGGACCAGGAGCCCGTCAAAAAGAAGAAATCCAGCAAACGCAAAGCGGAAGCTAAGTTGAAAAACGAGGATGCGGATGATCCCATTAAAGATAGCTCGCAAAATGATGAAAGTAGAAGTCAGAAAAGTGCCAAAAGGAAGAAAGTGTAAAAAAGCTAGACTAACCTAAATAATAGACACTCGTTTTAGATATACAATATGTATATAAATATTCTACATTTTAAAGCTTTTGTATTTATGATTTCGTTTTCGTTGTGAACAGCTTAATTGGAAGAAGCAGAAAAACGATAATGGTATATCGATTTTAAAATACATTGTGTCTCAAAGTAATCGGATTTTTACTGTGAGCTAAAAACTAACCAAGCAGACGTTTTTAGTTTTTAGGAATAGTCTTTGGTGTCACACTTTTTAAAAAATAACAACACTACGCTTCACAAATCGTTGTCAATCAATTTGGTATGTATGTAGATTTAGCTTTGAATACCTTTGTCGTTAATCGTTTCTTTTAGCACAAAAATTATGAAAATAGTAAATCATATACGCGAGGGCGTCAATGTGGCTGCTCTTATGAGTATTGGAGATGTGATTGCACAGCTTTTAATTGAAAAGAAAAAAATTAATGATTGGGATGTTGGACGGACTTTACGTTTTGGTGGTGTGGGTCTAGTTGTGGTCGGACCCGCTTTACGCAAATGGTATAGTACATTAGATCGGTTGGTATCCAAAGATCAGTCGGCGGTAAAGCGAGGCTTTAAGAAGATGTTATTGGATCAAGTTGTATTTGCGCCACCGTTTACATTGTTTTTAAGTTATTTGGTTCCATTTGTGAATGGTGAGAAGCATAATCAAATTGTGCAGAATATTCGCGAGACCTATTTCTCGGTATTGAAGCACGGTCTCATGTTATGGCCCCTGGCGCAAACAATAAATTTCATTGTTGTACCAGCTCAGTATCAAATAATTTATGTGCAGTTGGTTGCTCTGATTTGGAATGCCTATTTATCTGGCGTTCTTAATAAGTGATGAAAACCAATTCCTTAACAATTGTGAATATTAAATTCATACTGAAAACCGGTTATCTGATATGAAAATAAACCTAACTATATAGCGAGTGTATCTAAATTATATGAGCTTTTTTTTTTTTATAAATGTAAGTCAGCTGTTTGGGCGACATTCACGTGTAAACGGGTTGGGAACGCGATGTATCGATATAAGAATTTCTAACTTACCGATAACACACGAGATCATTAGAGGAGCTTGCTGCGCGCCTTGGATTGCTATTTGTCATTTAATTTTGTGGAAAATAGATCGGAAAATATGCAGCACACACGTGAGATACTAACATTTCAGTTCGGCACATATGCTAACTATGTGGGTGCACATTTTTGGAACCAACAGGTGAGCAGTAAACACAATGCCAAACAGTTGGACAATTTTTTGCATTGACTTATCTTGTAGGAGGCGAACTTTGTTTACGATAATGACAGCAATGTGCCTGAGGAGCAGCTACCTCATAATGATGTTCTTTATAGAGAGGGTCTCAATGATCAGAAGCAAACGACATATACGCCTCGATTGCTTTCTGTTGATTTACTGGGCACATTGCGGCATTTGCCAATTGTCGGCGAATTGTATGGCAACTTTTTGCAGCTGGCGAATGAGCAGAACGCGGATGAGGTGCAGAAAGCTAAAGATTCAGCCGAACAGAATCAGTTGTCCACGCCCGGCGGCTTGGATGTGCGCATGCAGCCACCTGTCGAGTTATCCGAATACCAACAGGATTTGTTAAAGGGCGCTGTTAATATCGAGAGTAAAGATTATAATTTGGCTCAAAACTGCAGTAGCTGGGCGGATTATCTGTATGCACGTTATCATCCGCGCACATTAAATGTGCTTCAAGGCATGCAACGTCAGACGGATGTCCAGGTGTTGGGCACACAAGTGGCTGGCGTGGAGCTGTGGCAATCGTCGTCCTTCAATGAGGACTTCTGCGACCGTATACGCTTGTATGCAGAGGAATGCGATGGATTGCAAGGTTTTCAGTTGCTATTCGATATTGACGATGGCTTCAGTGGATTAGCCACTAAGTGCTTAGAGCATTTGAATGATGAATATAGTCGAGCAAGCTATGTACTGCCTTTGCATTATCCACGGAACATTTCATATGCTCAAGCAGGTGCGTTCCTTGATTTACTCTGTTAAGAACTTTCCGTTGAATATTTCGTTTGCTCATTACAGATCCCCGCACGGCACACAGCATTCGTGTGGTGAATAGCGTTCTCAGTTATTATCATCTTACCGAGCAGGCGACCATGTTTACTCCACTTTCCACGCTGGAGACCATTTGGCGCAATACGACATTGCAATCGAGACGTATGACTGGTCTCCACTGGCAGCCGGATAATCTGTATCAGAGCTCAGCTGTTTTGGCTGCCTATTTGGATACGGTTACCCTCGGCTATCGTTTGCGACAGACGCCGGAGACGCTATTGCGCTTCTGTGAGCGCGTCTCACCAGCTGGTCGAAAAATGACGGCGGCTGGTTTATCGCTGCCTTTAGGCATGGAACAGGAGCAGGATCTGATTGATTTCTTGGATGGCGCCGATAATGGTTCGTTGTTGTCACAGCTAACGCCTGGCTGTGAGCCGGGCAATTCGCATGTTGTACAATCGGTTGTGGCACGTGGAATACCCTACTCGAGGCTCAAGCGTCCCGTGGACCAGGCCGGTCCACAGCTACGAATGTCGGCCTACAAATGCGAAAGCGTCTCCCAGATGCTTCAATTATACTATCAGTGTGCCTATCATGGCAGTGTGACGCATGCCGCCTCCACACCGCTGCCACTGAACACCAAGTTACCTTTTCCCTATGAACTTTTTGACACACGGATTGCAGCTGATGGCTTTAAGCTACAAAGCGAGGCGGAGCGAGAGCAGGACAAACGTGTGGGCTGTGCTCCAGCCTTAGCTGCTGTACAGAATTCCAGCAAGCTGGGCACACATTTGGATACGCTGCATGGGCAAACGCATCGCGTCCAGCTGGCCAAGCTGCAGAGCTACACACAGTCCGGTTTCGAGCAAGATGAGTACGATACGGCACTCGACAAGCTGCTTGAGTTTAGGGACAACTACGAAGATTCTCAGTATCTTTAAGTCTGTGATAAACATTCAAGCACATGCACACACACATATATAAGCACACGAATAATAATTAATAATAAATACACACAATTATTTAAACTTGTATTTCAGAGTGAGATAAAATCCTAATATTAACTTATCCTAACATTAAATTTTCTGTTAATTTTATTTTTGTTAGTTCATTTATACGTTCGATATTTGCTAGGCGCATTTCCGTTACTTTTGAATCTCGCAAAAGTGAGCTTGCTTATCGATGCCTATCGATGCCTATCGATGCTTGCTCTGTTAATTTGGGGCGCACGGAAATCATAAAGCTTATTAAATTAAAATACATGAATTGCATAATGCTAAAAGGTAAATCAAGGTATTTATGTATATAAAAACCGTTTTATTTTTTCTCAAATTTGTAGGCTAACAGCACTGTTATTAAAATTTAAAGACTCTGATCGCGGCAAAAATGTACCAAATGGGTACATTGACATTGGCATTGGCGCACTGTACCAAATTCTCCAAATTGGTACACTTCAGTGGCAGTTGGTCGTTTTTTCCAATATATTAAAAAATATTGTATTAAAAGTTATTTCGTATAACAAAAATAAAGCATTTGTAATCTTCCGTTCGCAAATGCGAATATGAAGGAAAAAAAGTGAAGATGGCGTACCAAAAATCTCTTAGCTTTTAACGCCAAATCCTCGCCACGCTGTATCATTCTTTAGCAGCAACGGCATTTTTTGCTGTTACTAGCCATGTTTTTTGCTCTCAAAGTATTAGCGGATTTTTCTACGAGGCTAACAGATTCAGAAGCCGTCTTAAGCTTCTGCAAAAGTGCGCTTTTAAGCACAATTCAAAAGAAACTACGAAAGGTGCATATGCTAAGCTAGAATTTCTGAAACAGCAGCTCCGCGGGCGGGAAAAAGGTTATCTTCCAGTCGAGTACGCCCGACTAGAGCCCTCATACTGCTTATTCATTGAGTGATATCTTCATATTCATAACGAGAATAGTTTTGGCTGCTGGCTGACAGCTTAAAGGCTAAAAATGACGCCAAAAAAGGCTACGGCAAGCAAAACAGCTGAAAAGGCTATGATTTTCAAGTCTTGACTACAATATATATAATATATATTTGTACACATATATATTAACTTGTCAACAGCTACGAGTCGAGGTAGCGCCTGATTCCAAGGGACAGCAATTGATTTCACGGCAAGAACGTGCCGCAAAAAGCCTTTTGTAAATGCTCAAGGATTTTGGGGCTTTGACTACGTGCGCGTAGGCTTAAGGCATTTGAAAGGAGTATATTGGTTTTGCACAGTGTCTGTCATGAGTTAAAATTGTAAATGTGTTTTATACAATCGTGTATAGCCCAAGGTTATATAGCTACACCCAAAGTGGGCTTAAACAAATGATGGCAACTGCGAGCGAGCATTATGCAGTCAGTTATGACCAGTTGAATGTATTTTTTTTCTTCATTTTTTTATTGGTTTAAAAAGGGTTTTTTGCCGAATATTTTGTTTGGGCTTCGAACTTTTCGTTTGCCTAATTTATATGAAAATTTATTGGCAATAAAGCAAACGTAATTGAAATCTCAAACGCAAATAAATCACATTTTTATGGACTAGCAGAGTCGAAGTCGAAGTTGGAGTTGAGCCGGACGAGGTGTAAGTCAATGCTCAATATGATGAGGTTAATAATTCTCGGGTTTCAAGGGGGTCAAACGGGTTCAAGTTGAGGCAACGAACTGCCTTAGCTTAGCTTAGTCTCGTAACGCTCGCCCCCTCCCCCACACGTCGTTTCGGCCGCATTGTTGTGCAAATTAAATTTCTATTTGATTGCCAAACAGTTCCTATAGCTATCTCACTCTCACTCTCACGCGCCCTTTGGCGGCAGCAGCTGCTGGGCTAAAAAAGGGCTCGGCCAATAGCCTTGATATTTAAAAATTATGCCAACGCCTTTAATGGGAATTGTGCTTCGAATTTTCAATTGAATTTCATTTTGTTTGGCTTTTCTATACTCGTTCGAGATGTGCAAAGGAGCATATTGGCTTTTGACATCCATTCGACGAGGCTGGAAAAGATTCCAGTTAGTTAAGTACTAGGTACTTCTAGCAAAACATCCATTGGGGGCGTGGCATATGAGTCAAAATACTAGCTCTCTTTCTTCTACAGCTACAATGTGAACTCAGTGAAGTGTCATTGACTTCGAACTCGAAAAATATAATTAATTAAAATTAAAAATAATAAAAATAATTTCTTTAGCGGCTTTTCAGCTTGCATCTATTGTTTCGCCTTGATTTTCATTTAAATTTAATTATTTTTTGGGTACTGTGAAGGAGTATTGTGCAGTCAGTAATGCCCGTCTGCAAATATTTTTACGTGCTTTTAAATTGGTTTACAAGTTAAGAGCTTGCATTGATATGCAGCGGCTGCTGTTGTCTTTTGCGTGCAATTAAGCTGTGGCAAAAGCACTTGAGCTGCAGTATACCCTGTAAATAGCGAAAGCGGGTATGCCAAGCGGAGCCAAGCAGATGCTCAAGTTGTTGCCTTGTGCATTACTATTATTCACTATTATTTTGAGAGTCTTCGATCGATAATTATCGATGCTAATAAGCGTTATATACAGCCTTTCCCTGGCTTCACTCTCTTGAACGCCAACTCTCAGCTGGCGATTGTCTTAGCTCTACTGCGAGCTGCTCTACATCTGCTTCGGTTTCATTGTGCTTCAATGATCTTTGGTCCGGAGTAAACTCTATCAACGTTAATTACCATGCAGCGCTATATAGGCTAGCGCTTTGATGGGCCTTACGTCTGAACTTATGTCTGAAGCAATATGCTTGTTCTCATTCTGGTTACTTTGCTGGCTATTGTGGCCGTGGATGCTGCTCAGAGATCTCGTGGCGAGCCGGCAGAGACTGCTAATTGTGGAAGACAGCGTCACGAAGGAGGCAACTAGTACCGATTACTGACTGCTTCAGCCTCTCTCAACAGGACTTCACTTCGTTGCTTAATCGATCTTAATTCAATTTTCCATTCAATAAATTTTATTTTGTAGAATTTTTATTATTATTATTATTTATAAATGGAACAGGCTGGAGTTAGTTTCGGAGCTGGAACAACAGATAGCTTAAGAGCTGAAGATGGGACTGGTAAGTAAGTAAAGCTTAAGGGCTTTAAAGCGAGTTGGGTCTGGAGTACTAGTTGTTGCTTGGAGCTGGAGTGGGCTATAAAGTTGAAGTGGGATTGGGTGCTGTAATGCTGGGATAGCAGTTGTAACAAAAAACAAAAAGAGTTGCGAACGGAGCTGGAACTAAAAGCTGTTCCAGGTGTTCCATAAGTTGCAGCTGAGGTTGAGTCGGGAGTTTGGTTGAGCTGGAGCAAATACTGGAGATATAGTTGAAGTGGAAGTTGAAGCTGGAGTAGGAGTTGTAATACGAGTCAAAGCTGGAGCTAATAATGGAACTTAAGTTGTAGTAGGAGTCAGTAGTTGGAGCTAAAGCTAAGGTAGCAGTGGCTGCTGGAGTGGGCGCTGAAAAAACAGTTGCAAACGGAGCCGGAACTACCAACGGAGCTGGAGTGGGAGTGGGAACTGGAGCTGAAGCTGAAGTCTTGAACTTGTTCCACTTTACACGTAATAACAATTACAAATGCGCACTCCACAAATCAAGTGAGGCAAATGCCTCGACCAGGGAGCTAGCAGCTGGGAGCAGCTCAGTTTTATGGACTAGACTATCATACGTAACAGGCAACAGGCAGCGGGCAGCGGGCAGCGGGCAGCGAGGCACTAATTACAATTCAGGACGCGTTGCACTCGGAAAAGTTGTTGCTCATTCAACACTCGAAGCGAGTGCCGCCAATTGTTGCACAAAGCGAGAGACAGAGAGAGAGAGTAGGGTAAGGGGTGAGGGTAGGTAGATCAAAGTAGCCAAGGCAAGGCAGTGGGTGTATGAAGAAGGGGCTGTTGTAATTAAATTATGTGCCAAGTGACGTAATACTTGGAGGTGTTGTAGCTCGACGCAGTCGAGGAAGTGCTTTGGCTGTTCCGTGTGCCCATCGGAGATGTTGTGGCAAATTAAGTTTGCTTTTGTTCTAGATTAAAAAGGCATTGAAATGTCGAGCAAGGACGACAAGCCAGCAGCCAGAGCAGCTCAAGCTGAGGGTGGTGTAGGGTCGCGGTGTAATGCTCATGTTAAGCAACTGCGCTGCGGTGTTAGCAGCAGTTAAGCTGACGCCTTTGGCCAAATGAAGTTAACTTCAAGTGAAGTTTTGTTGTTGCCTTTGGCTGCTCCGGCTGCTTTGGCAAATGCTTTTTGCCACGCTTCGCTACATGATTAAGTGCCAATGGGAGGAACGAATCGAATCGAATCGAATTCAAGTGCATTCAACTGTGCAATAGTTGATCTGTTTAATTGACACAAGTGGTGCATGTGTTTGTGGCATGTGCACTAGATCGCAATTCAATTCTTTTTGATGTTGTTTTTACTTGGCTGAGACAGCAAGTGTTTGGCTGCTGGCATTGCTGGATTAGCGAGGAGAAAGTAGTGTGGAAAGGAGCAGAGAGAGAGGACAGGGGAGAGAAAAGAGGGGGAAAAAGAGTGGAAACAGCAGAGAGGAGGCAGAAGAAGAGAAGAGAATAGGGTTAGGAGATAGGAGATAGGAGATAGGAGATAAGAGATAGGAGATAGGAGATAGGAGATAGGAGATAGGAGATAGGAGATAGGAGATAGGAGATAGGAGATAGGAGATAGGAGGTGGGAGATAGGAAACAGGAGAAAGAATATGGGACAACACTGCCAAACGCGGTTCCTCCAGCAGTTGGTAAATGAACTGCAAATAGTTTTACATATCTCATAAGCATATACCAGATAAATTGTTGTCTTGCCAAATGGTTATTAAATGCAAATAGTATGCTCATGAATTATTCTACAAACTGTGCTTAGGCGGAACTTAATTTGTGTCCTCAATTTGTAAGCTGCCAAATAAATATGGATTAATTTGTTTCGGTTCGAGCAATTGCCTAATCTGCCTAGGCCCAACTTCACTACCGGCTGGCAAAACAAGCCAGGGCAAATTGACACTTAACCCGAAGCCGAAAAGACGAAATAAACTTGTCTGATAATAGATTTAATGCGCCTAATTCAGCTA